TCAGGGCATGACTTGTCACTGGGCTAGTGGTTTAAAAATGAAATTGTGACCCCTGCTCTGCATGAAATATATATTCAGATTTGGATTAAGTAAGAGATATATGAAGGACTTATTTAATTGTTTACTCTAGTATATTTATCAGTGTTTCGTTGTCTTGTTGTTACAATGAACTTTATATCACGTCTAGATCGTAGCAGATAATCAGTAAGTTTTATACATAAGACAATTTATTATATGTTATAGCCAATCACCCCAGTTTATAGATTCTACCAGATAATCAGTAAGTTTTATACATAGGGCAATTTATTGTATGTTATAGCCAATCACCCCAGTTTATAGATTCTAGCAGATAATCAGTAAGTTTTATACATAAGGCAATTTATTGTATGTTATGGCCAATCTCTCCAGTTCTAGATTCTAGCAGGCAATCAAACAGTTTTATACATAAGGCAATTTATTGTATGTTATTGCCAATCTCCCCTTTCTAGATTCTAGCAAATAATTAGTAAGTTTTATACAAAAGATGTGTGATTGTCTAGGTCTAGATACTAGCATATGAATATAATAATAATCAGTAAGTTTTATACATAGACCTGTAATAGTATTTTACAACATATACAACATAATAAATGACATTTATTTATGGTACAAAATTTATTCTAGAACTAATTTGGGGGCACCTGGCTGCAGAACTATGCTAAAATGAAAAAGGATTTAAGATTTGACTTACCTTTAGTACCAGGTATTTGTCTTTCACAGATTTCAGTATAAAATAAATTTACAAATGTTACTATGGAAGTTTATCTTGTGTAATTGTGTTCCCTGGCACTTACTAATAATTATATTAATATATTTATCAGTTTGTGATTAAAGTAAATCAAGCACATAGCTGCTTATTACAAACAAGAATTCTATATTGTGCACATAGGCCCAATGTAATATTTCTATTCGTGACCCCAAGAAAATAAATTAACCCAAAATTTACATTAACCAAAATTTACAAGTGACATCTTATGTTTAGTTGAAATTGAAGGTGACACAGAAAATAATGTTAAAAAAAAATGATGACTGATCAAACAAATAAAGTTTAAGAGATCCAGGGATGTAATCAGCTGATTTAATCAAAAACCAAGGTCTGTCTTAGACACTAATAGCAATTTTGAATTATTGTTACCATTGCCCATGCAAAACTATAAGATCAAAATTTAACACATATCTTACGAAATTGTGGCCCTGATTATATCCTAACCTTGGCTAGCTATCCCTGGTTACACATTAAACCCAAATAAATATAATAAAGCCCTGTAAACCTTCCTATACAGAATACTGCTGATAAAGTGAAATGAAATATGACAATGGTCAATGATAAGAAGAAAATTGGCCTACTTACTTCTTTTTTTTTAAAGGGACATGATGCGGATCAGTAATTTTTTGTGTCATTGATAATTTATCAGTAATGTTGGAATATGACAGGAATGAAGTTTAATGACATGTCAACACAATACTTTGGTCGTTTTGAGACTAACAAAACTTTCTGTCTTTATTTAGCCCACTTGGTGCAGAAAAGTAGGATGTTAAACCCCATTTCATTTCATTTGTATGGTTGTTTGCAATGCGAAAAAAGAGAATTTTGCCTAGACAGCGATATATCGCCTTCTCTTTATCAAGAGGGGTTGGATGGCCGAATGGTTAGTGCGTTCACGCTGCATCATAAGGTCCGTCATTGAGTCAACTGGCATGGTTTCGATTCCCAGGTTGTGCGTGACAAGGAGTAGGGTCGTCTGTCCAACCTCGTGGGTTTTCTCCGAGTCCTCCGGTTTCCTCCCACTGCTAAAGACCCCTACACGCAAGCAAATTTTTGAAATAAAATTGAAACATATGTTAGTCCCGAAATGACCTAGTTTTATTGAGTGGATGTTAAACCCCATCTCTCTCTCTCTCTCTCTCTCTCTCTCTCTCTCTCTCTCTCTCTCTCCATCAAATGACAACTGGAAGCCAGAGGTTCTTCAGTTCACAACAGGATTTGAACCGATGACTTACTAGTGGAGAATTCAGTAATCTTCCCACTTGACTACCACGCCACTAAGCAATGTTGAGTATTTATTTTTCTTTTAAATGGTATTTTCATTTTAGGGATGTAACTTAAAAGAAATTCTGATTTGTATTTAACCTTTGTAGATATTGCAAAAAATTAGTATACTTCTAAGGGACACAAAAGTGCTCATTTCTTTATTTCACTAAAATTGGATTTTTTGAACTTCAAATTGTTCAACTTCTGTCCTCAGTATATGTTCAAAATAAACTGTGTATCTTGGAATTAAGTGTTGTCTTAGCAATGGCCCATACAGGAATCTTCTTGAGTGAGAAAAAAACCTATTTCTGTTTGGAAAGAGTTAAATGCATGAGTTTCACATCATATATTATATATGAAATACACAAACTGAGATCCTGATTAGCTTCAACTGGAGGAGCCACAGTGGCTTTGTGAGCATGGTTTCCATGTTGGAGACATATGCCGGTCTTGACCAAGGACTATGGAAAATGACAGAAAATGGTCATAGTGAGTAAGGCACTAGCTTGCTAACAAGGATGTGCCAGGTTTGATCCCAGAGTTGCTGGAGAAAGTTCCTCAAAAGTTTCTCCTGGTCAGTAGTGCAGGACATAGGACCTGGCAAGGAATAACGTCTAGTCATTTGTATGGGAAGAAAACCAAAGTTTCAATGTACAAATTAGCAAGCACGTAAAAGAACGCATGACAGTTGTAATTTAAATTATGAGTAGGCTGTCGTGCCACTAGTGGACAAAAATTTAACTCATAACCCACTGCATGGTATATGCCCTTCATTAGCCCAGTTGGTGCAGAAAACTAAAAAAAAAAGTAGGACGTTAATCCCCATTTCATGAAAGTATTCCTGGTTCAACTCTGTTTTAAATGTCACATGTTATCCATGTCCTCTAGAATTAGAATAAAACCACTTTGTCCTTCTATATGATACTATGTACATATTATGTGATATGAATATAAAAGATCCCCAACCCTCAAGTATTAAATAAACTGTTTACACACCTTTTATTTAAGATTATAATATGATGAATAAGCTTATTCTAAAGATTTATTTATTTCATGAGTAGAGGACAACCAGTGAAAGTTTAAAGATAATATGCTAGCATTTGATAAATTCATATTAATGTCAAAATAATATTCAAATGGCAAGCTCAATCCTACACAATACACACTGATTGGTCTTCTTTTCATTATATAACTTAAAGGTACTCTACAATATTTTCCTACATTATCTAATTTGTCACGGCTTAAAGATACGATATTCAAGAGCTAAATCTGCCTAATTCAAATCTTTTGTTTGGCCGCAAGTGTTATATAAATCATTGATAAGATACTTATTTACATGCCAGGTCCATAATCAAGTCTCTAAAACTCTGAATGATTTTCAACAGATTTGAATACAATTGTCAGTTAATGATTTAATTAAAAATGGATAATCAAGGCTTTTATTATTATCATAACAACTGTAACAATGACAATCAAACTATACTGTTCTGCAAACGACAATAACCCCGCTCAGAAAGAAGTACATGTAATGCATCTTTAATAATATGTACTAGTACTCCAATTGATTAGTTCACATTTAAACCTACATAATGCAAGAGCTAAATCTGCCTATTGCAGGTCTTTCTTTAGGCTGGAAATGTTATCTAAATTATTAATTAGACATTAATTAACCTATCCAGACCATAATCAACTGCGATCTTAAGTCGATTGTGAGCCGATTTACTGCATAACTTTCCTTCACGATTTAACGATTAAATGGATAATCAAGACTATGCTGTTTATCGTACTGACTTTAGTAATGATGATCGAGGCTAGGCGGAAATTTCAACTGCTTAGTTCTCGGTTCATAGTGGATCAATTTGAATGAAATTTTCAGCAAATTGCCTTTACATTATCTAGTTTTTAACTATTATAGTGAGAACTGCCAACTCGTTATCAAATCTCCCATAATGTATCTTTAATTAAGAAAACATAATATCACAGTAGTTTATAATCTCCAGGCCATTATTCAACCGGATGATAAAGAGGCCAATCAAAAGATATTACCCATCACAGGTAGTGCTGCCTTGTGTACAATGAATATCATATGCAGAAGATGCCGAATGGTGGGAAATTTTCCATTCATCCCATCTTTGGAAACACTGAGATTCAACTTTCACAATATTGCAATTTGTAAATTATTCAAAATCAGTGAAATGGTGATAAGCAACTTTAAATTACAGACTAATCTGTATCTTGTGTATGATTTTGCACAAATCTGAATGCGAAAAATGAGACAAGGTCTTACTTAAACTTACAACAGCCATCAATAACCTTTTTGTTACATTAAAAGTAGAGTAAATCTGTAACTAGATATGACTTGGATAAATAAGCTAAAGTGTACTTGGGTACCTTTATTAAAAGTGCATATGTAGGTAAAGAATCACTTCTCTTCATCAGAATACTTCAGTTATTTTGAGATGGTTAATTTTTATTTTCTACACTGCAAAAGCAACAGATCCAGATGAGGATATTCTTCTGGATTTGCTACATTTTAATTGTTGTTAATTTGTCCAAGGTGTACTCAGTGGCGGGAAAATGTCACTTATAGCATAGTGTATGGCATACACCTGTGTTCATTTTCCTGGTTCATCCTGAAAAGCGGAATGTTAAACCCCATTTTTTTTTTTTTTTTTTTTTTTTTTTCACTGATCTTCAGTTATCTGAACTACTTTATTGAATAGGGGGGGTTGGATGGCTGAATGGTTAGCATGTGCGCGCTGTATCATAAAGTCTGTCATTGAGTCGACTGGCGTGGTTTCGAATCCCCGGTTGTACGTGACAAGGAGTATGTTAGTCCCGAAATGACCTAGTTTGTGTCGAGTGGACGTTAAACCCCATTTCTCTCTCTCTCTCTTTATTGAATAGGATTTCTATTTTTATTTTATAGATAACAAAGCCATGTGATTGACATTTTAACAAAAATGACAAAAACTCTGGAAGATACGGTAGTACATGACAACAGCACTGACAACAGTCATCATGACTCTGTTGGAGATTCCCATGACAACAGCACCGATAGCCTTAACCTTTTACCCAAAGTGACGTTCAATGTTGGAGAAGATGACAGTAGCTCAGTGGGAGAGAGAGCGGAGAGTGTAGGAGATGTTAAACCAGTAGTCAAGGAGAAAGCTCCTGATGGAGGTTGGGGATGGTTTGTGGTGCTAGGTAGTTTCTTGGAACATATTATTATGGGTGAGTTTTCTAAATGTTAATAAATTCTCTATTAGAGATTGTATCACGGGAGCTACAGTGACTCAGAAAGTAAGACTCTAGCACACTAACCTGTGGATTCCAGGTTTGAACCTTGTGTTGGCTGAAAGTTCTTCAGTTTTTCCAGCACGGTTTCCAATTTGTCAGTGGTGTAGAATGTGGGGCCTGACAATGAACACTGTCTAATCATTTGGATGAGGTGAAAACCTTAGGTCCTGTACATTATATTTTGACTACTTGTTATTTAATCCCCATGTCAGGTTTTATGTAATCTATTTTTAGGTGGGTTTGAGAGATCTGATGGTATTCTGTATCTGAAATTAATCAAACAGTTTAATGGCAGTGCGTCTGCTACATCATGGGTTGGTTCCCTTACTTCCACAGTGAGACTAATGCTTGGTAAGTTAATTAGATTACCTGGGTCTCCTAAAGCAGAGGTGGACTGGCGGTATAGGTAATTAAACAATGCCCCGTGAGCCAAAAAACAATTAACGAATACTGGGCAGACGTAGGATGCAAGGGTGGTTGTTAAGATTTGTCTGCTACTGTCCCAAAAATTACATATAATTGTAACTTAAAAACATGGTAGGAATGATTTTAACTATTCTATTATTTATTTAATTATGATAAGCAAGATTTGAACTTTCTACATTAGATGTAAAGTGTTTCTGTCTATTCCTTGATGTAATAGTGGATGAGGGGGAAAAAGTCAAAAGTGTTCTATGGTATATACATCTATTTTTCTGTACCTTTTCTGAATGCTTTATGACAATATTTATTTTAGTTATGGTTAAAGATGCATTATCTTAGAGCTAAGTTGGCCTATTACACATTGTTTTTCTGGTTTAGAATCTTATATGAATTATTATTTAGACATTTATTCACATGACAAGCCTATAATCACCTTTGTAGGCCATCAGATTGCCTAGGTAAAATGAATAGTCGAGACTTTGTCTTGGTTTTCAAGTACAATTGCTACGATAATAAACAATCTACACTGCATCTTCAAACAGTCATAACTTTTCCCAGAAAAAAATAATTTGAATGAAATTTTCAATTATGTTCATTTTTCATTATCTTTTTTAAAATTATTATAGCAAGAACATCCAGATCTTTATCTAAATTTGTACATAATGCATCTTTAACTGTTATATATATGCAACAAGAGTAAGTGTTTGAGCATTGTAGATTTTATATTCAACATATTTACATATATTTCAGGACCGTTATCAAGTGGTTTATGCGCAAGGTTTACGTGTAGAAGTACTACATTTGTCGGAGCAATATTGATGAGTCTAGGTGTTTTACTCAGTGGCTTAGCACCAAGTTTAGGCTATCTGTATCTTACTTATGGTATAATTGGAGGTAGGGAGAAACTGATTAGTTATAGAATGCCCAATATAATCCTTAAAAATTGTTCAATTCCATTTTGGATAATAAAAAAAAAGACACGACTTTCAAAGTGCTAGTCCTTCAAACTGGATGAAAACCTGAGGTCCCATTTACAAATTGGTAGTGCCACTAAAACCTGGGATCCCTAGTCATTTTTCTGAGACAAGAAACTGAAGTTCCCTGTCACCATTGGCAGCACTTTTAAGATCCCCTGATAGTGATAATCACTGCTGACAGGACGCTATTTCCCCTCATAGCACACTGCCGTATGGTTGTCTTAAAAGGGACTATCCCGATTTCAAGAGAGTTTTAAAAATAAAAGTCGGAGTACGTATAAAATTTAAGCGCCAAAATATAGAGGAATAGTGTATTTACCTTCTCTCAAAATTCCAGCTCAAAATAATGAGTCGTTTGGATGTGAACGTCAAAACTGCTTTTCCGGACACGTAACCCTTTTAAGATTTCGGGTTAGTTTTTTCGTTGGGTGACCTGATAATCGATTCCCGTTCCTTAAGAGGTCTATATAATGAATGACCTATGTGCTATACTTGATAACGAAAGGTAAATTTCACCTACACATTATTTTTATAAACTAAAAGTCTGGTTTTATCCAGACACCGCATAATACAGCTTGGGACACCCGTCTCCATTTCCAGATGAAGACTGACGGGTTACATTGTTTGAAAACTTATCACAAATATTGAGTTAGTTGCTCGGCCCTTAGCTAGAGGAATTTAAGGGATTTTAACACAAAATTAAGCAGTTTTATTCTCCAAAAAATATCGGGATTAGCCCTTTAACTTACCTTAGTTGGTGCAGAAAAGTGGGACGTTAATCCCAATTTCATTTCCATTCACTGCCTTTGGAAGAGGAGGCAACCAACATTTGTGACAAGTTTAAAGAAATTCTCGAAGATGTTTTCCTTTTTTACAAATTGCTATATTTATATTACAGGATTTGGACGTAGTTTAGCATATGCTCCCGGGTTGATTATAGTTGGTATATATTTTGATAAGAAACGTGGATTAGCTACTGGAATTGGATCAGCTGGCGTTGGAATGGGAACATTAATCATACCTTTAGCGTTTGAATATGTTTTTGAAGTGTTTGACTATTTTGGTGCGTTTTTAATCCTAAGTGCCATTCCATTAAACCTGTTTATTTGTGCCATGTTGTTCCGGCCTCTTCATGTCCATAGACAGATTGTCCAGGCAGGATTGTAAGTATTTTTTATTGTTTTATTTCAAATTAATACAAAACCCATTTTCTTGTGGTTGCCTGCTATGTGCTTGATAATTTTCGGGAGAATATTTTAAAAATTTTGTCAGTCTGCCTATCTATCTAGGGAGATTGTGCAGGCTGATGATTGCTACGATCATTGACACCGGGGCACCCCTCTTTAATTAATCCTAACAATGAACCTGAAGCAAGTCGCAAAACTTCCAAAGATAATGAAAATTCAAAAGAAAGATTAACTGCATTGGTAAAAATATAAAAGTAATTGTAATGATTACATTGAAATGTAATTGTAATGATTACATTGAAAAGTAATTTAATGATAACATCGAAAAAGTAATTGTAATGTAGTTTTGATTTCATTATTAAAATTAAAATGTTATTTGCAATATAATGGCCCCAATGCTTATAGAGCTTATAGGGGGATTGGATGGCCGAATGGTTAGCATGTGCTTGTTGTCTCATAAGGTCTGTCGTTGAGTCAACTGGCATGGTTTCGATTCCCCGATTGTATGTGACAAGGTGTAGGGTTGCTTGTCCAACCTTGTGGGTTTTCTTCGGATCCTCCGTTTTCCTCCCACTGCTAAAGACCCCTATGGGCAAACGAATTATTGAAATGAAATTGGACTATATGTTGGTCCCGAAATGACCTAGTTTGTGTCGAGTGGATGTTAAACCCCATTTCTATCTCTCTCTTTATAGAGCTAGCACAGATGACTTTGTGTATTAGTGGGGCCAGGCAAGCCCTGTATGTAAAATGAGGTAACTTTGGTAACAATTGATAATTTTTATATTTATTTTTCAGACGGAAAACTTTATCTCAAAATACTGCGCTCCGTCTAGAGGAAGGAATACCACTTTCACCAACTGTGGTTACCTTGGAAACAAATCAGACTGGAGAAGAAGCACCAAGACAACAAAATATTTTGAAAAGATTTTATCAAAAGTATATTACATCTAGTGAAACGGAGAAAAAAAAATCCCAAAAATTGTTTGAATTCTCACTACTGAAGATTCCATCATTTTTATTCTTTTGTATTGGAATTGCAATTTTCACAGCATCATTTAAATCCGCGTTTACATTTTTACCAGCTTTAGCCAAATCAAAAGGTTGTTCTGAAAGAGAGGCAGCTATCATGTTATCGGTAACAGGGGTAGCAGATGCATTTTCGAGAATAATATCAGGATATATTCTAGAACTGAAGCCAGTAAAACCATTCCGTCCGATTATCTACAATTCGTTGATGTTTGCAGTTGTTATCGTGTCCATTTTGTGCCCGTTTGCTTGGGGATTTGTAAGTTTTTGTTTGCTAGGATGCGCGTATGGTTTAATAACTGGAGGATACATCAGTCAGAAATCTGTGATTATCGTGGATATTCTTGGAGCTGATAAAATTACACATTCCTTTGGTTTGATGATCTTCTTTCAAGGTATAGGAACCCTGATTGGTCCTCCTTTATCAGGTGAGTTCACATTTGTTTCACCTAAAGGGACATAGAATAACTCTGTAGTTTCAGACGATCTTCGTCAAATTGAAGTCATGAATGGTTGATTCCAATCACAAACAAACTGTTAACTAGATGTGATGAGAAGAGAATGATAACGGCAATAATACTATGAATAGCACTAGCACCACTGCGTAAAACATGTTGACACCATCCAATCCATACTCAGCTATAAACTCATATTTTAAAATGGACAGGTAGAATTTTAAAAAGAAGACTGTTAATTTCATTCAAAGATAAAGAGTTAAACATGCCTTCTTTAAAACGGAATAATAAGAGAACAGTAATAAAGTTCATCAACATTGTCTTAGATTTTATTAATATATATTTTTTCTATTTTATTGTTCATAAATTTGTATCTTATTTTCTATTTTTAGGCGCATTAAAAGATTTTTTTGGAGCATATGATGAAGTTTTCTATTTTTGTAGCGGATTGATGTTTGTCGCGGGACTAGTGATGATTGCGTCAAATATCTGTCGTAATCTACAGATTAAAAAGGATAAGAAACTAGAACGTGCTATAGAAGTGACAGAAGATGAAAACAAACAGGTTTTACCTCTGAATGAATGAATTGTAGGATTTCATATATTTAATTTTTTGTGATTAGGTGTTATTTTTGACATATATATATATATGTACATGTATATTGTTTACCTCAAATTAGCAAAATATTTGTTTCAAAGATAAAAACAATATTTAGCACTGTACCAATATTTTAAGTGTTTTTTTAGATTTAGATATATTTATTGTGTATATTTTATTTATGTAGTTTAACCTGGGACCACTTCATTGCAAATATAATTAATTAAATTGTTAAAAATGAGAAAGTAAACGTAGTCATTATCACTGTCTGATTTTTTAATTTTTTTTTTGCAATGAAATTAATAACTGTTACTTTAAAAGTAATTAGTCATCACATTAAAAACAATTACCTACTATTACCAATCACATTAAAAATAGTTAACTACCATTACTTATTACATTAAAAGTAATTAATTAACCCATGCATTAAAATTAATTACCCACCACATTAAAAATAGATAACTCCCATTACCCATTTACATTAAACGATTTTAAAACGATGATGATAAGGTCTAGTAGTTGTAATGTTTTTTTTTTATTATTATTTGTTATTATTATATCTATTTATCTGTCTCTTATATTTAATTTGCTAAATATTCATGTCATTTTATTTGCTTTTGTTATATTTATTTTTTGTTTCTTATAATTATATTTATTACGCTAAATATTCATTTCATATTATGACAAATCAATATGTTTGTGCTAGTAGTATTATATATTAACTTGCAAATGGTTATTGATAAAGATTGCTTATTCAATTCAACTGTGTCTCTTCTGAATAAACATTTATCAAAAACTATTATTCACATGACATGACATGGAATTGTAAGGAATATAAAGCTTAAAGATGTCATTTGTAAGATCTAAATCTGCCTATTGCAGGTTTTATTTTGTCTTTTAATCTTATATAAACTATTATTTAAACATTTATTAACATGACAAGCTCATAATCAACTCTAATAGACCAGAGATTTAATTGAATTAGAACGGCCAGCTTTTTATCTAAATTTTACATAATGCATCTTTAAGAGCACTTTCATTATAAAAAAGCATTATGCGAGATTTAGAGAAAGAGCTTGCTATTCTTTCTATAATAGTTAAAAAATATATAACAACAAATGAATCTATTGAAAATTTCAGTCAAATTACTTTATTCTGAGTGCAGTTAAGAATGAATACAGACAGAGGATGCAATTAAATTTGTATTTAGTCCCATTAGTGAAGTAGGATCTACATGTTATAAACATTGTTTATAAATCTTGTTTTAGTAGAAAATTTTCACACAATAACCAATGGTGCTAATTCTGAATGTTTTAGTACCATATAGACGTAAAAGTGATAATTCCTGTTGTAAACCAAAGATTCTGTTATACCAGTGCACTGTTATATATTTCTATTATCCATGTTTAGAATATTTATGTAAATATTATATGTGTTTTAATTGACATATTTGCATGTACCTGCATTAGAATTTAGCTCACCTCAGCCAACTGTTGGCCTGTTAGAAGGGTTAAAGTTTTAGCAGATTTAATTTAAGAACAATCATAGACCTGTATATAAGACAGTTATTAGATTTTGATGAAGGCTCAAAATTTATAGGGTAAACTCTGCCACTGAGAAAGCTGTTCAACCATTATGTTGTTTATTTATGCACTATTTCACTGATGAGTTGGGAACATAAAATAACCAGAGATTCTGTTTGTTTATAGTCATATTGTATTTATTTGATTATTAGTCATATTGTATTTATTTGATTATTTATTATTTTGTTATGACTCGTGTTATTATTACTGATCGGTATTATTATGACTGATTGACCGGTATTAGGCAACACAAATAAAATAAGTTGTTTCTCGGGCACCGCCCTCACGCAAAATTGGTTGCGCGTGCGGCCTATTTATTAGTCTTGATGAAAAATATGTAACGCCCGCCCGAACATCGATAAGCAAGTCATAAAAAGAATATGCCGCATGTATCTACATGCCCCATACGTGAATATCCATTCAAATGTATTAAACTGATTCAGATGTAAACGCTCATTTACGGGTCTTTTTTATTGATATCGAAAGAACCTCCATTTTTGTATCACGTGATTTTTATTACCTCCCCTTGTGAACTAAAATTTGATTCGTGTTAAACACCGAAAGTCATTGACAACAATGCAATGTATTTCAATTATTCGATCTTAATCGGCTCATTATTGCCGGCTTCAGTCGGTCCATGTTTGAAAAAATCCTACTTATAAAACAATGAATCGTAGAACAGGTTAATTATTATAACTTGTGGCTACGAATACGATACGATGATAGTCACCATACCTTAGTCAGAATCCGGGTCATTAGCACATTTAACGGTAGTTTTGATAATCCGGAAAATAATAATTGGATTACACATTTGATGGTTTTACTGACGAATTGTTAGTTAAATTTAAATAGTCATTCGATATAAACCCCAGATAGAACACCGAATATCCTGAGAAACACACCGAATAACCTGAGAAACAGTCATTTCACGAATCCCGATGACACGTGACATGCATTGGTTGGAATTAGGTCAATCATTATAAACCAGCGATACTAGATTTAGATCGAAGTGTCGTTTACCGTGATGATTTTTTTTGATACACATGCTGACAGAGGCTTACTCTTTAAAATATTGTCGTTATTATGGACGGCTATTAATAGTAATAGTCGTACGGAATTTTATTTTAAACCAATTTCAATTATGGTTGTCACCATTACAATTAGTAAGCTACATTACGTGAATTAAATATGGAAAATTATTTTCCTTTCAGTCAGTGTTTGAGTAGACTTGATTTTTGGGTTTATGTTCTAAGTATGTATAATATATAACTGAAAGCAAAACCAAAAAAGTAATGACTTTCTCATTAAAAAAAAAAAAAAAATACAAGGCCGCCCTCCCGCCCGCCCAAACAATTTTCAACAATAGGCAAATTTTATTTTGCACCATCCTCTAGCCAGAAATGAGGTAAAAAAAAGAAATAAACCACCCTCCCACCCTACAGTTTCAGCTGTCAGTTGCCCGAGAAACAAGACATTTATTTTGTGTAGCCTTATTACAAGTATGTATTTTACTTTTGTTTATTAGATTATAAAATGTTATTTACTTTATTATAATTGCTTTTGTTATATATATATTCCCTATATATATTAAGTATTATTTCATCTACCAGCTTATTTTGTGTTATTAATATGAAGCACAATATAATTGTTTGTAGATCTCGCGTACGGAAAACCCACATGAAAAACCCATGGGTTGCACGTGTGATTTTTGGCACCCATGGGCATTGCATAGGCAAATTGCCCATGTGTGAATGCATGTCCCATTAGTGCCCAAAATCCTGTGTGTGATTTCTATCCGGTTTTTCCACATTTGATGTTTCTATAAATATTGTTTTCATAGGCTGAAGATAAATTTTTATAGGATGGATTAGGAGGACATCAGACACCAAATTAGTTATTGCTCATATGTGAGAAACTAAATCAAATTCTTTGTTGTCTTATTCTAGTAATAAAATGCCTTTTATTGTTTTTCTTCTTTTTGATTTTTAAATTCATATTAAACAAGACATTTTTTTTATTTAAAGCCATTGATCATGATCATGCACTTTTCAGACAATAGACAATGTCTAATTTTTTAAGTCTCATTAATTCACACTAACATTATACTCCTGTTAAGAAAACAAAATCAAAATATCAATGGTAGATAATCTAACAACATGTATTTAATTGCATTTTATAATGATCCATTAAAAGATTGTTCCATATACTTATAGGTGGTCCTGGCTTGTTTATGTCGTACATAGAGGACGTGGAATGTTCGATAGAGTGCCTGAGTTCTCTTGTATTATAGGCCTACTGATATATATTTTTATAGCTCAGTTATGTTCTAAATTTTAAAATATTTTAATAGACTGTAAGGCTGAACATCTGTGGCGGAAAACAAATCTACTTGTCCATAAACAGATTTATAAATCTTTAAAAAACAATGTGAATAAATTAATTGAAGATGCTAAAATTAAATTTTACTCTGATAAAATAGAAAATGGCGAAAACAGACAAAAAGACCTGTATAAAGTTGTGAATTCCCTTTTGGACCATATTGCTGAGCGTACTATCCTCCCGGACAATGTTAATGAAACTGAACTTGCAAATTTATTCTCTGATTTCTTTCAAATAAAAATACAGAAAATACGAACGGAACTTGATGATTTAAATAAAACTATTGACTTTAATGCTCATGATTTTGATAAGTTAGAAAATTCTGTTTATTTAGAAAATTTTAACTTGGTTAGTGAATCTTTTGTTTTAAAGCTAATTAAATCGTCTGCTCCTAAATCTTGTTCATTAGATCCTGTTTTGACTTCTGTTCTTAAGGACTGTCGAGATGAAGTTATTCCAGTTTTTACCAATATTATTAATTCTTGTATATCATCCGCTACTATTCCCAACGTTTTCAAACGAGCTTATGTTACCCCTTTAATTAAAAAGTCTACACTGGATCCTAATGTTTTTAAAAATTACAGGCCAGTCTCTAACTTAAGTTTTATTTCTAAAATATTGGAGAAATGTATTGCTTCTCAGATAAAGGCCCATCTAGATGATAACTGTTTGTATGAACCATTTCAAAGTGCTTATAAACAATTTCACAGTACCGAAACAGCTTTAACCCGGGTTTCAAATGATATTTTAATGGAAATTGATAATAGAAAATGTACATTTTTAATTTTATTAGATTTATCTGCTGCTTTCGACACGGTGGACCCTTCCATTCTTCTACGTAGACTTCAATTTAAATTCAGTATTTGTGGCTCTGCATTAAATCTTTTAGAGAGCTATCTTGTGGGTAGAAAACAGTGTATTTTAGTTAATTGCAAATCGTCGTCTGAATCTGTTTTGTTATCTGGGGTTCCCCAAGGTTCTGTTCTTGGTCCGATTTTATTTACCCTCTATACGTCACCATTAGGAGATATTGTCAGAAAATATGATCTCAGCTTTCATTTGTATGCCGATGATACTCAATTATATATTTCATTTACACCTAATCGTCCATCTTCTTTCAATTTATCAAAATTGCAACTTGAGAACTGTATTAGTGAAATTAGAAAATGGATGTCAAAGAACTGTCTAAAATTGAATGATGATAAAACCGAATATTTGTTATTAGGCTCAAGGCATCAATTAAGTAAATCTGCACAAGATAACCCCCCTGTTGTAATTGGTAATTGTGATATATTTTCATCTTATTCTGCTCGTAATATTGGCGCTATCTTTGATAGTTTTATGCTTATGGGAGCTCAAGTAAATAATATTTGTAAATTGTGCTATTTTAATATTAGAAATATAGGTAAAATACGTAAATGTGTAACTGTAGAGGCCACTAAGTCACTTGTTAATTCTCTGGTCACTTCTCGATTAGATAACTTTAATTCACTTTTAGTTGGTTTACCTTTAAAGCTTATAGATAAATTACAAAAAGTACAGAATACTGCGGCTAGACTTGTTACTTTAACTAAGAAATGTGACCACATAACTCCTGTTTTATATAATTTACACTGGTTACCTGTTAAATATCGAATTGATTTTAAAATTGTATTACTTACTTTTAAATGTTTAAATAATTTAGCTCCTGTTTACCTCTCAGATCTTTTAGAACTTTATACACCTGGCCGAACATTACGTACATCAGATAAACTAGTTTTAAAGCCCAAAACTGTTCAACTAGTCTCTTATGGTCAGCGCTCTTTTAGTTATCAAGCACCTGTTTTATAGAATAATCTACCATTTAGTTTAAGATGTTGTACATCTCTTTATTCTTTTAAAAAACAACTTAAAACACATTTATTTAATCAGGCTTTTAACTGACTCTGTATACAATCGTTAACATGCCCATAATCTTGTTGTTTATGTGTGATTTACATTGTCACTTTGTAAAGTGCCCCTGAACATGTTATATGAAAGGGTGCACTATAAATATGCTGTAATAATAATTAAATTTTTTGTGAATATTTTCAATAATGTTAATTGATGAAGCATTTAATATATTTTAATATATTGTATTTAAATGTGTGATTATCATCTGAATTATATAAATTTAATAAATTATTCATTAGCCTTACATAAAGTCTTGAAGTAAAAACAAATTTCAATGTATTTATTTGGGAGCCACAATGAGTGAGTGAAAAAGACGATGACTCATTGATCAGGGAATATGTCCAAGTTCAATCCAGGTATTGGCCAAATAATTTCCATTTCCAGGACAAATGGCCATTTGTTTGGACACAGGAAAACTGATGTCCACCCGTGTACTCAACAGTCACAATTCGACAAAAAAGAGTTATGTAAATATCAAAAAAGTAAACGGAAACAGTGTTAAAGAGTTATGTAATATGTCATCATCTTAATTACCCAGATGCATTAAACACTTTACTTTTCTGTCCGGTCAAATTAAAATGGACATATTCTTTGTACTATGTTAAGAAGGATATTTTGCCCAGACAGCTTCATTTACAATAATCTTCATCAACTTAGATGCTGTTAATTGTCGGGACCTGAAGTCATGATGAAAGAGAGTGTTGAGAGAGAAGTAGGGTTTTAAAGTTCAATATTTCAGAAGTGAGGGGAGACAGGGAAGTACTCCAGAGAAATGTGTTGTTTAGCGTTGATACTTCTGAAGTGAGTGGAAACCGAGAAGTACCCTGGAGGTTAGCTTGACGAGTGAGAGAGATTGGGTTTAACGTCCACTCGACACAAACTAGGTCATTTTGAGACTAACATGGTTTAATTTTATTTCAATAATTCACTTGCGCGTAGGGGTCTTTAGCAGTGGGGGGAAACCAGAGGACCCAGAGAAAACCCACAAGGTTGGACAGACGAGCCTACTCCTTGTCACGTACAACCAGGGATTCGAAACCACGCCAGTTGACTCAATGACAGGCTTTATGATACAGCGCGCACATGCTAACCATTGATCGGCCCTCCAACCCCTCGTTAGCTTGACGAATATATGACTTGTCATGCAGGCACAAACCTGTGATCACACCTATGACTTGTATATTACACATATATCGTTGTCGCAGTACTATACCACCAGGAAGACTTTGTCATCTGCAATTGCAGTAAAATATAATGTTGAACCCCATCAATATATTTTTAATGACGAATTCAAGGGTGTTTCTATTTTAATCTGATAAATAGAAAAAAAAATAATTTAGGTTTAATTCCATTTTATTAAAGCAGATATCTGAAATGCTCTCTGAAGAGCAGAACGAAGCACTAAAAGTTAGATTAACTCCTATGATTTACATAGAAGAAAGGGTTACTCCACCGTGCAATTAAATGCCTGTGCATTCCTGAATTATATGGAGTCGTTTCCCTTGATATTGAACAACAGACTGGGAAGTCACGTCTTCTAAAATATTTTTGAGAGTTATCTTTTCCTCAATGTGAGGTATTGTGGGTAATGAAATCAAAATACACGTGTTTTGCAAAATACTGAAAATAATAGAAAATGGGTCGACCAGGTAAAAATAAACAACAATTTATGGTAATTAAGTAGATGTTTGCATACACGAACCAGTATTTTACCACTCGCATGAATTTATAAGTGTATTATTCTTTAATTATGAATTTTGGAGGAGAAAAAGTCGTCAGCTTGGCAAAGTAAAAGGATAAATAATAAAACCACGTGGTCGGAACACTGTACTTATTAAAAGGCTTGTCTATTAACATAGATTTCCCTACTTATTCATATCGAATGGGTTTTAAAGATTTAGAAATTGTCATCGTCATGAATTCTGGCATTGAAGTTTCCCTAACAACGGCCTATAATAAGCTGATCCAAATCCAAAATGAAAATTCCAATTTATTATTGTCAATCATGTTGGAATTGGGCGGACCGGCAGCTGGATTGTCATAAACTAATAAGTAAACTTCATTTCAATTCTGATTCATCAGCCAATTCTGCTAACCCATGTCTGATATATGCCAAGGTCCTATTCCACACAAATACCTTGATTAGGGTTTTCAGGTCAAAGTTTTAAACGACAGAAAAAATTTCTTTAAAATATTTTTTGAAAATACACATAAAATGCTACTGAAAATTTTTTATTTCATCAAAATATCCTAATTAGATCCAAAGTTATGGTATTTTAAAATCTGAGGTCAATGTCAATAATAAGGTAATCAAAATGCTCTATAACAGTGAATGCGTGCCATGGTGCCAAAATAACTTAATAAGTGCTTTTCAGTCATATCGGAGTGATGTCATTAGCAGCATTTTCCCTGAAGAAAATTAAGCAAATTTCAGTCAGCAAAACAGATAAAGCACGTAGATTGAAGTGGGCTACATGTATATGTAGAGTCAGATATTTCAGATGATATTCGTACTGCAGATCTGTCCTCAAAGATACTACTAATACTAGTTCCCATCCATTCTCAACAAAGGCTAGAAAGGGTATCAAAAATATTTTAGGCAATATTAATTTATACAGCAGATATGTCATAGAAGACAACTTTTATAGCTTTTATAGTTCAGTTATGTGTATTCGGTTATTATTGTACTGTAGACTAATCTATGCTTTATCTTTTTACAGGTTTCAGTCCAAGAGGTGATCGCGGCGGGGGGTTCCGGGGCCGCGGAGGAGACCGTGGGGGTAGAGGAGGTTTCCGGGGAGGCAGGGGTGGGGGAGATAGAGGAGGCAGAGGTGGTCGTGGAGGATTTGGAGGAAGAGGAGGTGGTCGTGGAGGATTTGGAGGAAGGGGAGGAGGTTTGTATAATAAGAATAATCTTAAGTAGGGTTGTGACAAATTTTTTAATTATAAGATATTACCCAAGTTATGAACACTTGTGACAAATGTGTTAATATACAATACTTGGCATTGACCCGATATTGTACTATACAGAGTAATCCACCCATAGAATGTGTGACATGCCTTTAGTTTAACAAACTAGCACCTGGATAATTCGTTTTTTAAATTTTATTTTTATTCTATGTTTCAGGTCGAGGTGGAAGAGGTAAAATATTTAATCTTTATTAAAATGTTAGGTCTTCACTTGAAAAATAGAAATTAATAAATAAAAGTGTCTAGCAACTGCCATATTTGTCAATAATGTTTGACATTTTGAGTTTGACATTTTGAAGAAATCTTTATATAGAATTAAAATAGGGACTAATTATAATCCAGTTGCTCTAATAGTTTAAAATACATTTTTCTAAGTTAATGTTTTAAATCAAGTCATTTGATTACAAAACAATCAGATCATCTGAATGTCATGCTTAAATAGTTAACCTAGTCGTTGTGTTCAAAATGAAGTAAATTAATTCTGTACTTGAAAATGTTATAGGTGGTCGAGGTGGAATGGCCGGAGGAAAACAAGTTATGATAGAGCCACATAGACATCAGGGTATGATATTTATTCTACATATAAATTACCATATAAATCACCCAAATCCCAAATAAAACTGTTATAATGCCTCTGAATTTTACCATACACAGATTATGTGCCTGTGTTTAATATGGACCATATCTTAGACTTAAATGTCTATTTGACATGAATAAACAATAAAAGAATCAACATAAACTTAAAAGGGCATACCAGACTTTATCTGAAAAATTTATTGGGCTATGCAAATTCTGTATTGATTGATTGCCTGTAATCTTAACTCAGATTACCATATCATGCTTTTCCTCGTCTATTTATTCGACTTAAATATTTTCTTGGAAGGCCAATGCAAAAAATTGTTCAATTACAGGTGTATTTATTGCTCGGGGTAAAGAAGATGCTCTTGTTACTAAAAATATGACACCTGGTGAAACAGTTTACGGAGAGAAGAAAATATCGGTCGAGGTATTTATACTTGTATATTTCTTTAACTTTTCGGATTTCAAGCCTAATTGCCACTTTTCAGGGTCTGCAGGTGGGAGTATGTTTTGTTGCCTTCAAACCTATATTCTGGCTATGCAATGGAGTTGCAATAGTGAGGTGTTGCATGTTTTGATGAGGATGATTAAGTTTAATGATGATACTCCAGTTCTGCTACTGAAATGAGAATGTTGATATTTATACCAACTTTCTGAAAACTTTCACAAATCTTCACAAAACACCAGCACTTCTTTTCTTGAACATTGTTAATTTCCCAAACTCTATGCCTTTAAACTAATGGTCTTGGAAGTAAGCAAAATAAAATGATGAATATTACCCACCGAATTCTGTATATAATTATGGGAATTGTTTCACATTTACGGATTGTGAATACATCTGATGTGAATATACTACACAATCCAGACTTTGAGGGTTATAGACAAGTTCTTGGTTAGATTAAGAAACTAAGTCACATGGGCCTGGCAATTAAGTTCGTCGTCTGAATCGTTTGACATCATTGTACAAAAAAGTGAATAAAATGTTAAAAGCAAGAATTTGTGACACAACAGGTAACTGTCAAAGGTTGTTTTACAACTACTTGAACAAGTACACAGGGATTCGCATCTCAATAACTAGATACATTTTTTTGCCAGGAACACGTTTCTCTACTTCTAATAGTAATAGGGTAAGGGTCGGGGGAATTAGTTTAGAAAATCCTAAGAAACTTATCAGTCAACACCAGGATCTTCTAATTAAGTAAGCTAGAGACATAATCACCAAGCAACTGTTGATCCCTTTTATAAGTTGAATGCAATCACATCATTTATTGTTTTCTATTAATTCCATGCATGAAATACTTGAAAAAATACAAATTTCTCATGGTTAAAATGTTATTAAATGTGTTTTTTCTTTTTTTGTTGTAGGAAAATGAAGTTAAAATAGAATATAGAGCGTGGAATCCTTTCCGATCTAAATTAGCTGCTGCTATTTTAGGTGGTGTTGATCATATCCATATTGCACCTGGTAGTAAGGTTTTATATTTAGGAGCTGCTTCCGGTACAACAGTCTCCCATGTATCAGATATAGTTGGACCTGTAAGTACCCTTATTTGTACTCATTACTGTTACATTTAGTCTGTCCTATAAAACAATGTTTCACAATCTAGAGGCCACAAACTCCTAACCCTAAGTTTTTGGGGGTCTGCCGAGCAAAAAATGGAGTCTTGTTTTAAAAAGTTAGCTGAGGTAAATTCAGTGTGTTGGTATTTGGGCAATGATTTACAGTAGCTGACATCAGAGTCCGATTAATGGGTATGACTAGGAGTTATCAAAGATTAAAGGAATAGTAGTGGTAAATGGTGAGGGCCCTCAGAGATTTGTAAGTTGTCCTCAAGGATCAGTGAGTGGAAAACAGTTTGGAACTACTGCTATAGGGTGATATAATGGATTAGTTATTGTTGACTGAACTAAGATTTAACTTTGGTAGCTGTATTTTGTCAAGATAGACAAATATTGTCTGTGATTAACATACACTATAGCTCTGTACACGTAATAAAGGGAAATGTACTTACTAATCTGTTATTGTAAGACAAATGGCATGGATTTCCTGTAAGCCAGGTGGTTAAGTTCAAGTCGTCCAATTCTTAAAATTTAATGATTTTCAGGATGGTTTAGTTTATGCTGTAGAATTTTCACACAGAAGCGGACGAGATTTAATAAATGTTGCTAAGAAACGACCTAATATCATTCCTATCATTGAAGATGCCAGACATCCACATAAATACAGAATGTTGATGGGTGAGTAAACCTGTGTTTCTTGGAATCTTTAGCAATCTTCGAAACTGGTATACATGGTACACTAGACTATTCAGGATGAAAGGTCAAATGTTGAGAATTTTAAAGGGCCTGTTGGTAATACGGTCCTCGTTAATTGAACTACATTAAAAACATATTTAAAGGACAATGTTGGTGGCAACCATTATCACATATGTGATAGAACTAGTTAAACGTGTTTCAAAATTCACCAAGCGTAATGAAGATTTGAATTAACGAGCGATAACATACATGGGCTAATTTCTGCTCACTGATAATTCCTTCGAAGACCCGAAGTTGTTAGATGAGACTGAGAGGATATCTGACAATTTCTAAAAATAATTGACTGGCACTTGATGAAAAAAATAGAAAAAAGTCTGTGCTTTACCATGTTTTTGTTAAGTATAGAATGTTAAAAGACAAGGAATGTACAGGCTATTTCTATTTTTCTCAATTATTTTTTTGAATTGTCAGATAACCTCTCAGTCTCGTATAACAACTTTTATTTTCAAAGGAATTATCAGTGAGCAGAAATTAGCCCATGTATCTGTTATTGCTCGTTACTTCAGTCGGTTATATAAAATGATAACTCATGTTTTCTTTTATGCATTACCTCCGTCTCGCATGATCTCTGTGTTAAAATTATATTTGGAATGTGTTTAACCAGTTCTATCACATATGTGATAACTGGCCGACACCAATATTGTCCTTTAAGGTAAGGATTAACCGTTCTTAAATGCAGAATGTATATGGAGTTAGTCTTGAGATGAGGCTTAGCTTAATGGTTTCTACACTAACTCCATACCCAATATGGATTTAGACCCAAAAATAATGACTAATAAATGCAAGAGATTTAGGTTTATTAAATATAGTGGAATTATACTCCCTAACTGTAGACACTATAGACCAGCTGGTTGAGTATAGATTTATTTGTAAACATAAATATATCTCAATGTGAATCTGTTTTATGATGAATTTGAAGTTTCAGCCACTGAAATTAAAGCTGATCGACAAAATTGACTTCACTGAAAACAGAACTTAATATATGTATTTTGTAATATAGAATAGGCTAATACAACTTCCCTATCCAATTTAGTGCATGCTCTTAATCTATACATCAGACTTTTGTGTCAAAAACTGTACATTTATAAGCACTTCCACCATCCTGGGTTTGATCCCAGTGTTGGCTGAGGAAGTACCTGTGGATTACCCGACCTTGTTTCCCCTTGTCAGTTAATAAAAACATTCAACAAGTTATTATTGTATAATGCATGTTAATATAATCTTTGTTTTTAGGTATGGTTGATACAATATTTGCAGACGTTGCTCAGCCAGATCAAGCTCGTATTGTAGCCCTCAATGCACACAATTTCCTTAAAAATGGCGGTCATGTTGTTATTTCTATAAAGGTTAGTAATTTCAAAAACCCAAATGATAATTAATTGGCTATGGTTTTAATAGTGGAATGGAATTTAAAAACAGAATTACAGGCTCGAATGCCAAGAAAAATTTTCTAAATTATTCAGGCCTCTTATCACTAATTCCCTGAAATATCTCATGATTAAGTCGACACTCAAATGTTAAAGATTGCTTTAAAAAAAAATGAAATTCATATGCTGTCTTTGCATAAATGCCACATTGCTTTTGCTTGAATAGAAATAATTAGATTTGATGTGAATTCCTGGATATCATTGAAATAATTCCAATCTTCAGACTTGATATTTATAACATCTGTCTAATGATGAATTGAAGTTTCAGCCACTGAATGTATAAATGATCGACAAAATTGACTTCACTGAAAACAGATGTTTGAATTTTTTTGGTAAAATATGAATTGTTTTATTTCTGTTGCCCTTATGACTGATTGTGTTGGAAATATGAAATAGATTCATATGTAATGGTGCACCAAAAATCTGCTTTGTATTTACAGCAACACATGATTAGTCAAAATCTTTAATTAAACTTTCTGTTTCTAGGCTAACTGTATCGATTCAACGGCCGAACCAGAAGCAGTTTTTGCAGGAGAAGTCAGTAAATTAAAAAGTGAAAAAATAAAACCTCAAGAACAGTTGACGTTGGAACCATATGAACGTGATCATGCTGTGGTAGTTGGTATATACAGGTTAGTAAGATGATATTCTATTTGCTTGCTTCAAATCAGTTCGGGGGAGGGGGAGAAATGGTTAGCATGTTTGCAAGGTGTCATAAGGTTTGTCAACTGGCATGGTTTTGATTCCCCAGTTGTACATGACCAGGAGTAGGGTCGTCTGTCCAACCTCGTGGGTTTTCTATGGGTCCTCCAGTTTCCTCCCAGTGCTAAAGACCCCCTACACGCAACTTATTGAAATAAAATTAAACCATAGGTTAGTCCCAAATTGACCTAATTTGTGACGGTTATGCATGGATATTTTGAATCACAAACTACAATCTCTAAAATGAATATATATTTCTACATTTGTTAAAATATTTGTAACATGTAAGTGTTGAGTCTTGTTTGATCTGATTTATCTGGGATATTGCCTACATTCCTTTGAATGCTATGAAAAAGGTGTTATCCTTGATGTGCATGTAAAATAACTCTTGACAGTTGGTATTCGATAAAAAGTAGGCAAACACAGGAAAAATTTAACTTCTAGCATTGCACACAGGACCATAGGGAAAAAAGAACTGTATGTTAGTCTGAAAGTCTGTTTTTCTAGAAGGGTTGTCACACACTTGAATTATTTGTTGGTGATAAATAGTAGTCCAGTAATTCTTGGTTTGTGTTGCTCACTACCTTGCACATACTGTTTTATGATGAATTTGAAGTTTCAGCCACTGAATTTAAAGCTGATCGACAAAATTGACTTCACTGAAAACAGTTTAGTGCTACAGGAGTTAATGTACTAGTTTTATTTATATATTTAAAAAATTTCTTGTGTTAAGTTGCCAAAGTATAATGTTATGTTATCTCTGCTTTCAGACCACCTCCAAAGAAAGTTTGAAAAGTTTAAAAGAGACAATTTTTTAAAATTTCATTTTGTAAATAATATTCATATGGTATGAGAGGAGATGTGGATTCATCTATTTTGTAAATATTCAGAGAGTGCAACAGATGGATTTTAACTTTGAAAAAAAAAAGAAATGGAATCATCAAAACACATGAATATTATAAATCTGCAATAAGATCCGCATCGTGAAATATATAGGGTTGCCAATGACACTACTGCACTTTGGCACACCTATGACTTGCAAGTGTTTTGATAATGAAGACATTTGGCTTAATGATATGACAGTTTTCAGCCAATGTAAACCTGTTGAGTTCTAGGAGTGCGAAAGTGCAATAGCCTCCAGTTTGCATTGAGGAGATAAAAGTTAAACATTTCAAAGGAGAAATATTTTTTTGTTTACATTATATTGCAAAACTAATGTGTTTTAATGTCAATAATGAATTTAATGAGAAACCATTGAGTTATATTATTTACTACAAGGTAAATAAATGAATGCGATGCCCATCCAACAGCACTCAGTACTGCCAAGAGAATCACAAAATACTATGTCCTGCACGCTATCTGTATTGACCATATGTCATAATTTATAATATATTGAAGTAATTAAGGATACTGAATTGTGTGCAGATGAACTGCATTGTTAGGGTTTTGTTGTTAGAAAATCTTTATTTTTGTCTGCTAATAAAGAACTGAATTTGGGGTATGTAGAATATGACCACTTTAAGAAGAGAGCCACAGATTTTCAACAGATATTTGATTTTCTTTAAATTCTGCTAAAGTTTCTGAAAATAGTATATACAGAAACTCATTGATCATATAACAAGATATGAATGAATTATTATACAAAATAATGTATATGTAAATATTTACGTAGTAAAATTATGTAAAGTACCATTCATAGGTTAGTCTTTGTTTTAAAGTATTATGGCGTCACAGTGACTCAATGAGAAAGGAAATGTAGCTGGCTATCCCTTTGTTAGCATGTTTTCCCTGGTTAATGGTGTAGTACGGGAGTGTATAGTCATTTGGATGGTATGATAAACCCCATGTTCCTAAAGACTGCAAGTTTCATAACATCTGGACGTTGCTAGATTACTTCACAATTCCTGAACTTATAGCTACATTATCTACAGACACTTGAACAGTAGTGTCCAATCAGAATTCGGGACATAGCTACCTCCACGGAACCCTTGACATTGAACAAACTTTGAACTTTGTAACTCGGTTATCACCTTAGAGATTTTAGCTTGAAAGCGTGAGACTTGGTAATCACAATGATCGACAAATCTGATAGGCTAACAAACTGGGCTTGGACCCAATTGAAATTAGTGCCGTAATATGCAGGGTATTAGTGAAGGCCTTGATAAAATATACGTAGTTAAAGCGAGATTAAAGATGCATTATGGGAGATTTTTATAGAGAGTTGGCCATTCTTGCTATAACAGTTCAAAAGTAGATGATGAAAGAAGAATATTTTGAAAAATTCAGTCAAATTACTTTATTCTGAACATAGTTATCATCGTAATATTTGCCTAGAAATGGTAGCGAAATGTGTCTTCACCTTCGCCGATCGTTTGATTGACAGGCGTTAACTCCACCTACATATCTCGATTATCAAGTAAAGTTTTCAATGGCATACGGAAACGCTTTACAGCGGCCTCGCTAAGTACACTCTATCATTTAGCTGACGTATTTTCATCAGGTTACCCCTTATTTGATTTAATCAATTAGTGAAATCCTATTTTAATCCGAGCTGTAGCCGAACCATCCGTGGGTCTACAGAGTTGATTTTGGTCTTGTTGTTTAAATAAAGATCTAATTTATAATTTCTATAACTTCTGAAGCCTAAATTAAGACTTGCAATAATCAGATTTAGCTCTTGCATAATGCATGTTTAAGCTTTCTATTGACGATGGATCAACCCATGGTAGAGCTAATAAGGGAAATCTTATCCATTCATTTTGTGTATAATTATTATTACCCTTCAAAAAGTACTTTAAATTCATTTTCAAAGTACCATACACTGATTGCCTGTCCTGAAGTACCATACCATGGTAGACTTCTGTTATAAGGTACCATGCACTGATAATCTGGGTTATAAAGGTACCAGTCCCTGATAATCTGGCGGGTTGGATGGTCGAATGGTTAGCATGTGCACGCTCTATCATAAGGTCTGTCATTGAGTCAACTGGCATGGTTTCAAATCCCTGGTTGTACATAACAAGGAGTAGGGTCGCCTGTCCAACCTCATGGGTTTTCTCCAGGTCGTCTAGTTTCCTACCACTGCTAAAGACCCCCATGCGCAAACGAATTATTGAAATAAAATTGAACCATGTGTTAGTCCCAAATGACCTAGTTTGTTTTGAGTGGACGTTAAATCCTGATAGTTTGGGATTTATAGACAATTGTAATAAATATATGACTATGGAACACATAAAAGAGGGTTTACATATGCACTGAAATAACATTATTTGAAAAGATGCTTTTATTGAATACACATATCATCTCATGATTCATTGGAAATATTTCGAAGATCCATGACTATTTCTAATGCTATATCCTGGATGTTCTTGTCTCGGTCCACTGCTAATTGCTGCAAGTAGGTAGCAGGTAACTGGAAGAAAGAGTAAAGTCATTTCAAAAAATAATTCCATTGACTTTGAATCTGGATGTTAGCAGGGAAATATTCACAAAATGCATGATGAATGATTGCACAAACAAAAGGTACATACAAAAAATTGAACACTAAACAACTTTATAGAATGGGTTAAAACCTCAGGCACTCACCAGCACTACTTATGGTCATGTTTTATTGCAATGGTGATGTGTGATTGTAAGGTACAAGAATTTTGCATGGACAGCCGACCTGTCCAGCACAGCTCGGTCAGTGACGGATCATGAGGTCGTCGGGGCCCCGTGACAAGATGACATCCTACCACATAAAATGGTGGGCTGAGGAGTATATTTTAAGGAAGTGGGTCATCATTATTTTTTTTCTACAAAATATGAACAGAATTTGCCTCTGTTGCCCTCGTCATGATCAGTCACTGAGCTAGGTACACTTCCTTGTCACTGTCAGTCTCACTGGCGCCAATCCTACCGAACTAATGAAACGGTATTGTGCTCTTCTAGTGCCATTTTGGAAAGTACATAAAGTTTTATCAACTTTAATTTCACGAAGCCATTCTCAGACAAGAATTTACTTTCAATCTGTTTATGAAATACAAAAAAATTGCACATAATTTCTTATTGATGTATTTGATACATTACAACAACAAAGGTTTTATAAGGGGCTGAATTTTGAGTAAATTCTTAACTTAAGTCTGAGATTCTGAAACCGGGGCCAGATTATGTTCACGTTAAGAAATAGATCTCCGTCTTCATTAGCCCAGTCGGCGCGGAAAAGTAGGACTATAAACCCCATTTCATTTCAGAAATAATTCTAGAAATGGTAATATAACTTACCAGCTCACGTAGTTGATGAACTATATTTATATTATCTTCATCAGATATGAGAGACTGGATAATCCTGAGTGTATTCAGACGATTCTCACTGTCTGTTTCTTCTACAAACAAAATACCAATTATCAAATAAAACAAACTTTTATAGTATACAATTACTGACTTTAACAGGGGTAAGGTTTACAGCGATTTTCTTGTTATAAAATGCAATGATTAGACGCAACGTTTCAACAATGATAGGTGCAATGTTTCAACACTGGTGAGCGGTTGGGTGACCGAGTGGTTATCGAATAATAAGTATAAAATAATAAATAAAAAGTATATGATAATGAGTATATAATAATAAGTACATGTATAAAAGAAAAAGTACCTTGAAGATGCCAGGCTAAGAGAGACATGATATCTGGTTTACTACATAGATATTTCAAGCCTTTCTGGTTTATACTGATGTTATACACGCACATTAATATCAAACTGGAAATATATAAAACAAGCTGACATTAGGTGTTCTAGAAAGAGTAAGCAATGTTGGCAGACAATTCTTCGTGCACGATACCCACCATAGCGATTCGGTGCATCAGTCTTAATTCGTTTATATAAAATACGATGACCAAAGCTTCCATCTGTTCAAGTACTGTATTTTGATAACAAGAAATAATTACGGTATCGCCCATTCAAAACAAACCAGCTTATGCACCCAAAATATATGAAGCCCGTTTTAAAACAGTGTGGAAAAAATCTGCCTACTTTTTCAAGACCGCACTCTTTTTAACGGGAGCTTCTGCTAGAAAGACAGTAAATGTATCAATTAGTTGTCGGCCATGTTGATTTGTAATCAGGAAATTTCTGCCATACGCTGAGGCGGCTACATCTGAAACATGCAAGACAAAAATCATACTATTATAGAAGATGATAAAGTAGACAATAGTATACCATCGATTAGGGTTTGATCGACCAAGACAGCAGTCTTACTGTAATGGCGTTAAGCGCAACACACTGACGAGATGACAAGATTAAAGATGGTAAGCGTAAGCGCGTCAAACTGGTTGTAAAGGTGACATGAGAATCGCAGTAACAGTACCATCAAGTTGGTAAGTGTGTCAACTAGACAGTAACCGGATCCTAAACCAGCGGCTGCCAGGCAGGATACGCCCACATTTTCGAGAGATGGATAGAGAACAAGCTAAAAAGAAAGTTATTTTTCCTACAATCGAGGGCCATAATTCAGGAAGTTACAATTCGATATGCTCAAATATCGAAAGAAACCGAGATTTTTGTGTTATAAACTTACATTTTAAGTTTCAACAAAATCGGATAAAAATTGTGACCTCTATAGGGTCCACAACCTTGATATCCCATATTTTTGGGCTATTTGAGAACGAATGGCGGCCATTTTGTCTGACAGTTTTGGGACGATTTTTACTAAATTCGAACTCAGCAGTCCTTAGGGTGTAACGGTGATATAATAATACGGTTTTTTTTAAATCGGATAAAAATTATGACCTCTATAGAGTCCACAAGCTAAAAACGCGATTTTTCGTACAATCAGGGGCCATAATTCAGGAAGTTACGGTCCGATATGCGCGAATATCGAAAGGAACCGAGATCTTTGGGTTATAAACTTAGATTTCAAGTTTCAACAAAATCGGTTAAAAATTGTGACCTCTAAAGGGTCCACCACCTTGATACACCATATTTTTACGCTATTTGAGAACGAAGGGCGGCCATTTTGTCTGTCAGTTTTGGGCCTATTTTTACGAAATTCGAACTCAGCAGTCCTTAGGATGTAACGGTGATATAATAATACGTTTTTTTAAATCGGATAAAAATTATGACCTCTATAGGGTCCACAAGCTAAAAACGCGATTTTTCGTACAATCAGGGGCCATAATTCAGGAAGTTACTGTCCGATATGCGCAAATATCGAAAGGAACCGAGATCTTTGAGTTATAAACTTACATTTCAAGTTTCAATAAAATCGGATAAAAATTGTGACCTCTATAGGGTCCACAACCTTGATATACCACATTTTTACGCTATTTGAGAACGAACGGCGGCCATTTTGTCTGTCAATTTTTGGCCGATTTTCACGAAATTTGAACTCAGCCGTCCTTAGGATGTAACGGTGATATAATAATACGGTTTTATAAATCGGATAAAAATTATGACCTCTATAGGGTCCACAAGCTAAAAACGCGATTTTTCGTACAATCAGGGGCCATAATATCGAAAGGAACCGAGATCTTTGGGTTATAAGCATACATTTCAAGTTTCAATAAAATCGGATAAAAATTGTGACCTCTACAGTGTTCACAAGCTAAAAACGTGATAATTTCGTACAAACAGGGGCCATAATCCATGAAGTGTCGATCCGATACATGCCAATATCTAAAGCAGCCTAGATCTTTTGGAGATAAACTTATATTTCAAGTTTCGTCAAAATCGGATAAGAATTGTGACCTGTAGAGTGTCCACAAACAAATTGTGGACGGACGGACAGGGGCGACGACAATATACGTCCACATGAAAATGTGGGCGAAAAAAAACCGGTAAGGGCATCAAACTGACGGCAAGAATACAACAAAGCTGATAAGGGCATCAAACGGGTTGCAAGCGCACCATAAAGCTGGTAAGTGCAGCATCAAACTGGCGGCAAGGGTACCATAATGGCGGCAAATGCATCAAACTGCGTTCTATCTTAGACCGATGTCCCTTTTAGTGGTTAGACGTTCACATGCAAGGGATTCAATATTTCTAGCTACATTATCTGTATAAGTTTAATAATGTTTTTTTTTGCTAATGGTGCTTACTTGTAACTGTGCCACAAAGAGCAAGTATAAAGTTGGTTTCATCTGAAGGTTCAATGGGCCAGTCATCTTTATACGCTGCCAAATACCCATCTAATGTACTCGATACAATACAAAAAAACTCATCAACTTTACTCTGTAACATGACAATAAATCAGTCATATTTATTACGACGTTGATAAATATATCTAAATTAAAGATTTAAATATAAAGTTGGTCGTTCTTGCTATAATAGTTTGAAAATAGAAACTGAAAAATGAATATATTGAAAATTTCAGTCGAATTACTCGTTTCTGAGCGAAGTTATCAGGTTTTGAAGTATTCACAATACAGTCTCAATTGTTACGATATTAAATAAAAGTCTCGATTATCCATTTTTAAATTAAACATTTAAATGCCGATCCACTGAAAATCGCGACCATCCGACGATGTCTAAAGAGTTGTTTATGGGCTTAATAATTTATATAAACTTTGAGATCAAATGAAAGACCTGCAATAGACAATTTTAGCTCTTACATAATGCATCTTTAAACTTATAGTAAACAAGTATAAAAGAAAATAGGAATAAATAAATACAAGTTCAACTACGTCTAGAACAGAGAGCCGCTGGTTGGGTTCGATCCCGGTGATGACCGAGAAAGTTCCCGGGATTTTCCAGCGTGGTTTCCCCTTAGTCAATGGTGCAGGGCCGGGGGTACGGTAAGGACAGCATCTAGCCGTTAGGGTGGGACGAAAAACTTCCCGTGTATACACTGACGTGCACGTAAAAGGCTGCTGCTTTTGGCACACTGCTATGTGGGACCATTTTTATTCACTAAAATATATCTTGGGAAAACGCGGTACTACGGAGCAAAAATGATTTGAGAAAGTAATTAACCGGGCTTGTTATTCGAATAAATTAGGCACAAGTGTACATGGTTGCTCACCCCACCCAAAATAGCTTCAATGCCTTCCTCTTTTCTGGACACTCTCCACAATAACGTACAACATGCTGCTCCTAAACTGGAACAATAATCCGACTGTTGACTTAGTTGTTGACTTAAATTCTGTAGATCACATCGCAACTGTAGGGTTTCCTGTAATTATGGAAGTTTGACAATAGAATAACACAAGAAAGGGATCCTATCGGGAACCGAAAAAAAATATCTTTCGGAGTATTTCAAGCCCAATTCTCACTCTTCAGGGGGTGATATGGAAAGTTTGTCTAGTCGCTCGGATAGAACAAAAAAAACTACGCCCACCCATGTACACAATAGCTTACACGTAAAAATTACCCTTGGCATTCGGAATTAGACACAGAGTATGAAACGCAGCAGCCCGGGCAACGTTTTCTCCACTAGCATTGCACGTGTGACCATATAAATAACCGTATGTTAGTCTCAAAATGACCGAAATATTGTGATGTCGAGACGTTAAACTCCATTCCGATCCTATATTAAGCTGTTCTATTGACAATTTTGTCAGTCTGGTTTGATTTTGTTGTTTGTCTTTTCGGTTTTGTTTTGTGCAGTGCGGTCCTCCTGCACTTCTATTGGTGTAATGACGTTCTGTTCTTCATGACTTCCGGTAAAAGCTTTACATTACTGATCCACTAATAGCTAATATTCATTACAATGTTTTAGAAAAAAAACAAACAGAAATATTAAAAACCTGTTTTTCAATCTGACATTCTGATACAGCTGTTTCACATCTGGCTTTCCAATGATGACTTTCTAATTCCAGCAGTTTCTGGCCTTTCCTCACACTTTCTACTTCTGAAAAATACAAAGCTTTTAAGTCGAATTCAGAATACAGTTTAATAAATTGCCTAGATACAAAATATTTCTGAATGTAGCTTTAGTTTATGACTAAATTTGCCAGGCCTAGAAGATCTGGCACACAAATTCCCTCACAATTAGAAAAGTCGGAATGAATAATACACCAAGAATCTTGCAAAATATTTCAAATATATATTCAAGGAAATTTATTCTCTGGCTGTAGGGGAAAAGCAACGGGTGGATGCGCATTAGTTAAAAAATGACGCCTTTTCAGCAATTTTTAACACTCTAGTTCACAAGTGCGAAACGTTTTAAACAGATATTTTTATCGCATGACCTTAACAGAGCTATTCGGACACATTACTCCATTCGACTAACCCGTAAGGTAAGTTACAAATCTGGTGTTGTCAATTGTCAGTGGTGCAGGACAGACGGCCTGGCAAGGGACAACGCATAGTCTTTCGGGTGGTACGAAAAACCGAGGTGGCGTGTACACATTGGCGAGTACGTAAAAGAACCCTTGATAGTTGGAATTCGAAATAAGAGTAAGCCGTATTGACGCTATCTCTGCAAAATTTCCCTCATATCACAATGTGTGCCGTATGTCAGTCTCGATTAGCCCTTTTGGTGCAGAACAGTAGGGCGTTAAAACCCGTTACATTTCATTTATATGCCTTGGATATGAACGGAATGGAGACAACTCTTCTTATAAAATAATCCCGCGAATTATAACGCTACTAGAACTAACCTTCTTCTATGGAATCAAATCGCCCAATAGATGTTATAAACTTTCTATTCAGTACCTTGGGTAGGTTCTCTTTTAACTGGGCTATTTCTGTAGCCAATCGCGCCAAATCGTTTTTATGAATTAAAATAAAATCTTTGTCTTTTTCATAAACTGTGTAAGGTATGTTAACTGGCGTCTGAAAGCACATTATCAACAAAATGATTAAAATAAAATAATGAGGAGCTTTACATATGGGTAGATAATATGGTCTATCAACATTAGAATTTCAGTTTTAAATTAATATCAATTTTTTTTATGTAATTAATATTTATTGTATGAGTAAATTAAAATACTTTTTAGCGAGAGTGTTGTATATTCATTGGTTTAAAGTTAAACATTGGACTTATTTATTATTAAAATATTTTGAATTTAATTTTTATTCAAGAATAACTTCAATATAAATAACAAGGGGATACATTTAACCTTTCTCTGTTTATTTTCATTCTGTTTAAACTCTGACCATTCTTCATTTAGACTTTTATAATTCTTTTCTACATCTTTAACAATCTCTACCTACAAAATAAATAATAAAATTAAAAATAAAATATTATGCCATAATCAATGTGTAGGCTAGAGGCATTAGGATAAAGGGTCTACAAGTCAACATGGGCGGAGTCGTCCGTATATCTTTCATTTTATTGGCTGAAATCATTCGAGGCTAAGCACGCGGCATGCGCATTAATTATAGGCTTTACCGGTGGGCTTCATCTGCGTGTATAGATTATAGATACGTCTTTCTGGTGATGCTAAATAATTAAATAATGGCTATGACTGAATTCATTAAGCGCATATGTCGGCCGGGTAATTTCAGTTTAGTTCGGGCAACTCTTCAGCCATGTGGGTAATGCGGGCTACCTGACAGTGACACTCGAAGTTGGAGTTGGAATGGAAGCTTAGGTATAGGCCGTATGTATTGACACTACTAAAAAAAAAGTACTAGTTAGTAGTACTACAGACAGTTACCTAAGATTTACTGGCACTTATCCCCTATTTCTCATTTTGTCTATAGCTGAATAAACTTACAAGTTTTTCCATTGACTTCTGTGCAGGAGATGTTGACATTTTCGCTAAACATGTAGTATGAGTAAAGACGTTCTATTTTGTGGCAAAGTGGGCCATAAAACACTTCGTCTGCCGTCGGTCGAAAATTACGAGTTATCTCCCCCACGACTTTACTCGCCTTTTACTCTGAAGAGTTTTAAAAGTTGGTGTGGCGCGTCAATTCCTTAATTTGTTAGCTCCCAAGTCCTTTTCAAACGAAACAGCCAAATAATTTAAGGGAACAGATATTTTGAATAAATGATGTCATTGAGTACAACCGCAACTACTTCTAGTTCTATGATGGCGTGTACCAACTTATTAAAAATAACATTTTTATTTTTCAGAATATATAATATATTGACTTTGTTACTTTGCAATAAATTCTAAAGAACCCAATATATATTGCACCTGAAAAGGTAATAATATTTGGTGTTCAGTTTCACTTCATTTCAATGCAGCCTTTATCTCAAGTTCATTTTTTTTAAGGTTACATGGTTGACACAATAAGTCTGAGACCGTTTTGGTGACTGTTAACATGGAGTTACCTCCCATTAATCAACATATGTACGCCAATCACCATTCAGTAATTGATAATGATATAGAATATTGATTTATTCATAAACAACTTTTGTTAAATATAGATCTAGTCCATTACTTTTGAAACATTCAGAAATTATTGCAGAAAATTCAGCAGAAAAATCCATTGGGTCTAACATAGTTCTTATTATACAACACAAGTCGATTTGCCAAGCAAAATCTTTTGGGACAAATCTTATCTGTGAGCTAAAAGCGAACAATCAAAGAACCATTGGCCCTTCTCATTGACGAATTTTTTGGTAAATATTTAGTCATTTGAGTGTTTAGGTAGAACGATCAAAAGAGTGATCAAGACCTGCCCTTGATAACACGCTCTGAAAGCAGGAAGTTTTCTTCATATAACGAATTATTATTATTTTTTTTTTTTAAAAAAAAACCTTCAACACTTTAAATGTAAATTTGGGTTAAACAGATAGCAATGAATTTCCGGAAATTAGCAAGTTAACTATTAGTGTATTAGTTTATACCGAATCGGTGTTTTAACAGTTGCTAGGCAAGAATATGTATTAGTTCTATAGGTTTGGCAGCCTATATGGTATCGCCTTCCCACGCAAATTAGCTACCGTTAAAATTCTGTCTCTTATTATAATCTTATCTTGTATACAGATTATTACAGAAATAAAACGCAGTGTAATTTATTATCATGTAAATTACTACCTACATCTCTTCACGAGCACATGCACTACCAATTACCTATACTACTGACAACAAGACTGATAAGGCATGTTGAAGAATGAGATAAGGCGAAATTAATATAAAAAACAATTTATTATTCATGCATTGCACTTTCACGTGCATGTTCAAATCTACTTCTCTTAATAATGATACATTATGTAAGATTTAGATAAAGAGCTGGCCGTTCTTGCTATAAAAGTTCAAAAATAGATAATGCAAAATGAATATGTTGAAAATTTCATTAGGTGCGAAGGTAGTAGTTAGTATACATAATGTACAACACAGTACAGTACTCAAGAGACCTAGTAAATCTTGTAATAAAATATATCGAAAAGATCTGTAGCATCATGCAGAAACAAAACCCTCAGTGTAACGGATAATTCGCGATCTACATTTCCTCCTTGGTGAGCGTTTAGGGGAAAAAAAAGCCACTTGATCCCGAGCTCCTCTCTAACTACATCATGGCAAGGTTGGAGATAGATTCAACAACTGTCTTAATGCACTAGAAGCTATGTGGTCATTTTTTTCTTTGCACCAAATTAGAAATAATGTACTAGAATAATGCTCAATGAATAAAGGCGGATAGACCTGGACCGACTGATAAATATAACAGAAGTTTCCTTATTGCCCTGTTTTTGTGCAAATTATAGGCCAACTATTTTAATATAGTTTGTATTTATAAATGGGAGGAAACGTTTTCCACAGTACTACCGATAAATAACCAAATGAAATGGGGTGTAACGCCCAACTGTTCTGCACTGACTGGGCTAAGGAAGACCGGCCGATAAATAACACATCCCTCTCACAGATCTACTACAAAGTGTGATCAGTCACCACATTTAATATCTGACAACCTGAATTTAAAGAGAGAGAGAGAGAGAGAGAGTTTAACCCACTCCAAACAAAATAGGTCATTTCGGGACTAACATATGGTTCAATTTTATTTCTGTAAATCTCTTGCGCGTAGGGGTCTTTAGCAGTGGGAGGAAACCGGAGGGCCCAGAGAAAACCCACAAAGTTGGACAGGCAAGCCTACTCCTTGTCACGTACAACCCGGTGATCGAACCACGCCAGCTGACTCAATGGCAGACCTTATGATACAACACCAACGTGCTAACCATTTGGTCATTCAACCCCCCACCAGAATTTAAAGGGTGCTGCTCTGTTTGTGAATTGATATCGCAGACAACAAAGGGGAGTCAGCCACTCACTGACCTCAAAGAGTACCCAGTGTAGTAGCTTACTGGATGTTCCTCTTGATTTCAAGCTTTACAGTAAAATGTAAAAATAATAAGGATGAAAAAACACACAAATGCCATTTGTTTCAGTGTGCTTATATTGAGACACATACATACATCTCACCACCCAGCTTTTGTCTTCATGTTGCAGCAGATCTGATAATATCAATTTAACACTTTCTGTTAAAGTGCTGCATCTTTTTGTGGGGAGCTTTACACATTACAATAACTTTATGCTTCAGCATATTTGTTTTGTTATGAATATATATATATAGAAAATAAAAACAATGTGTTATCAATATAGTGCTTTTTATTTGAGAATCCAAAACCTGACAAAACTTGGAGGAAATATTTATATAGATGACGGACATAGTATAAATGGTAGATATTATATATACCACAGTTTGATTGATATACAACGCTGTATAATTATATCACACTATAATATATTCAATTTACCAAAGTGCAATACACTTAATTCTCATATTACACAGTAGTGACATATTGAATATAAGGCACTGCAAAGTAATATACCATGGCAATATATTCAATATACCACACTGTACGACTATACCAGAATGTAATACAGTTTACTGTCATAACCATAGTTATCATGACAATTGATACCATATAGTTGTTATATACTTCAGTAATATATTTACCATGGTAATAATCTCAAACTGTGGACCATTAGGTATACCATATTGTGACCAAGGCAGTCTATCACACCCCAATAATGTTACACAGTGAGATGCCACTACACTACTACCATCAGTAATATATAACAATGTGACTATAAAGTATGTGATATTCCACTGCAATGCATATTAATGTTATACCATAGTAATCTATTAACTGCATTATATACCATAAATAATATATTCCACAGCATTGTATACCATAAATAATATATTCCACAGCATTGTATACCATAGTAATCTATTGACTGCATTATATAACATAAATAATATATTCTACAGCATTGTATACCATAGTAATATATGACACTGCAATCTATCTTGGCAACATATAGCAGCAAACATGATGTTATAGTATATTGGCAGAACAATAAACACAATACTGATCTTATTACAAACAGTAGTAAATATATTTTATATTTTTCAATATTATAATATTTTTTACAAACTTTTTATGTCAAATATAAGGCAGTAAATGTAGTATTAGTATAAATAGATCCCATTTTAACTTTATTGATGAGGGATGGAATTAATGAATCTCCCCTCCTGTAAAATGGAATTAATGAATCTCCATAAGGCAATGGAAGTTGTTTTAATATAAATACATTTCATTTTAACTTATATCTAAATTGGTGACGAGATTTATTCCATGACAAGAATGCATCTCCCTACTATTAATTAAATAAGGCATAGGTGTGATATATATCAGTTTCTTTTAATAACCAATAAATCTATATTTCAACTTTTGAAAATTGTTTTATAAGGCAGTATATTAAGAATATCAAAGCATAAAAACTTGTAAAGAGGAGTGGTACTGCTAAAATTTACAATATACACAAGACTTTGGCCGTGTTCATTTCTAAAACCAAACGGGTTCGAATCAGTGTTGACACGCACACTGATGGAATTTGAATTTGGTTAAGCTAATGAAATGGTATATTCGTTTGGAGCCTCACCAAAACATTATATGTTAATAATAAAGTACCAAACATCCACATTAATACAAATTATTTTGTAAACTATCTAAAGCCAATTTGGGATGCCGAATGAAAAACAAAAGGATGGCTAAATTGTATTGCTTTACAATTATCGTTTGTTTGTTCTTAATATATTTTGTTAGACGTTTTCTGCACAATATTCAAATATAATTACCATTATTTTTGATAGATAATTTTATATTTAATATAATACGTGACATACAAATACTGTTTTATCACCGGTTCTTAAAGTAAAAGGAAATGACTTTTATAAAATATGATCAGATGAATGGCACTGATTTATTTCAAAACAGATATTTCATTATCCACCGCAATTTAGTTTAAGAGAAAGATCAAGTATTTAGCAATCAACGGAACATCATAAAATCACCGTAAAATACATTTACAATATTGCTTTGTTTCTTAAAATTCGTGCCAACTTATGAGATTGGATATAAAATTTTATTAAAATACTGACTCAATTACGAAATATTTGTCCCTAAAATATCATACACACGTTTTATGTATCACTGATGTCTTGAATTCTTAACATAGCACTTTATATATTGGGAATGATACATAATGATATCTATTTGCAGGGCTCTGCTTTTCAACACTATCATCGGTCAGGTCTGGCTAACAGAAGAATGTGTCTAGTGGTAGGGTGGTGCTTGATTAAATTGAGAACTGATCTAAATTATACTTTATTAGATAACATTATGTAGTAATTATCAAATAGTTAATAAACCATACCTCCAGATATAAATCCACCCAATACCTACTACCCTCCTAGTGGGGAAAATACAGAAGTACATATGTAAAGGAAGTTGACTTATTATTTTTGATGTGTAGATATAATTAATTCTTCACTTAATTTCTGAAAACAATTATTATTAAATAATTTTTACATACCGGGTAATTTGCACTAAATTGAAAAGGAGCCCTGCATTTATATTTTTTTTTTACACATAATTATTTAATACTATAATATAAAAAGAATTTTTTTCTCATTTTTAATATTTTAAGCACTATTTTTATAGCATTTATATTTTAATTAATATTCATTTTTCATATATATATATATATATACACACACACAATGAAAAAACACCTTATACTGTATTTAGGTCAAGGTGAATTATACACTTGACTTACCAAAATAAAATAAAAGTACAATATTTAGAAACAAAATATTTCATTTCAAACAAAAACTCGCTAAATGCACCTCATGTATCGTCATCTTAGAATCTGAAGACATTTTCTCAAATAAGAGATCTACATACATACATAATATATTCCTGCTCAAATCAAACATTGTTATTTCAATCATTTCATGATTCGTTATTGTTTTCAGCTTCAAAAAGGTACACTTTAATTTCAAACGTTTCCTTTCGATTCATTTGCATTTGAGTTGTTTGTATTCCACTCTTGGAGGTATAAACAAAGGGAGTAGATCGTTTTTGATTCTAGTTCTTCCTTAGAAGACCTTTCCAAACCCCTTTTTGACCTTCTAAATAGTAAAAATTTCAAGAGAATACTGATCAATGTTCAAGTAGCTTGAATTATTTACTATTTATTGTCATTTAAGGACGAAAAGAAAGAGGGTGGAAAAGCCTTCTAACGAAGAAAAGGTCATTAGGAGGTCACCTCTCCTACCTCTGCATTTCATTTGGGCAGTGAAATATTTGATAAATATTTAAATCTCTCAAAATTCACTGCAATTTGAAGTCATAATTTTTAAAGGAGAACTCTAACCACTGACATTTAAAATTATTATATTTTATTCATTACCTATTTTTAAAGAAGTTACCCTTTATCATTATGTCACAGACAACTTGGTAATTTGTTAATAAGAAGCGAAAGGGTTTGTGCTTCATGTAGTTCGTTTTTCAAATTATTCTACTTCTAGATAATAAATAAAATATTAAAAAAATGAAAATAAATCAGCAGTGGTTCTCCTTTTAACAATGATTATAAGTTACAATCAATTTTAAGTGATTGAAGTTGTTGTCAATAAATCTGCAAATATGGCATGTTTTCACTTGATCATCAAACCAAAGTGAAATATTTATCCGTCCAAATAAAATGCTGTGAAAACAAATGTTTTTTTGTTTTTTCTTAAAGAGATATATAATCAGTTCAGCTTAGCATTATGAGATCATAAATGTTTCAAATTTTTACATTTTTTCTTCGGGGAATGTTAAATTGCTATCTGTTCCAAAAAATAATATTTACAAAAGTTACAAGCAAGCAAAATTAAACAGCATAGAAATCTTTTAATAATATCTGTTGGGATATTGTTCAGAGAACACATATATCAAACTTCTAAAATCCTTAAAAATTCTAATAAAAAGAAATTTTAAGAACTGTTGGAAAACTGTACTATAAATCTTTTAAAATGTGAAGATTTTACTTTTTCGGAAAAATGTCTGACAGATGCAAAAAATTTCCAGACTTAGCTTTAATAATAATAGAAACGATTTTTAGATGACTTTGGAAGTTTGATAAATCTGCCCTCTGGTTACTTCCCTGATTTTCTAATAACCATTAAGTTCAATTTTTCTTTAAAGGACAGAAGGTTTTATTATGCAAATATATTTGCTTTTTCATCCGCCCATTTTTCATTATGCAGTTTTTAATTTTTGCATTACAGAAGAAATGTAACATCTAATTTAAAACTTGGGAAAATTACATGTAGATAAAAATTCCCAGTTTTAACTGATAGCAAAATAACATTACCTTACAAGGAGTTTAACAATTTATTTCTATTTCACCTGAATGGATTAGGACATTTTAATTTAAATAACTTCATGGAAGGAAATTAGAAAATTTACAGATTTAATTAGTCATTATTATATTACAAAATTTCTGATGATTATATTTATTCAAAATTGTTCTATTTCACCAATTACAAATTTGTTAACATTAATCCAACAAACAGCAGGAATGCTAAAATATTCTAAAAATTTGAGTTATATACTTGTAAAAAATACAAAATTCTTAAATGCAAATTGTTTTTAAAAATATCTCCATATATGGCAGTTATCAACAGACTAGTTAGTACACTCTAAAATGACATGTTCAGTTTTACAACACAAAGTAGTGTTTTAAAGACTTTCATGTTTTACATAAATGCTTACAAAAATTTCAATTATTTAAAATCTTACAGGAACTAAATGATCAAAAGGTAAAATGTAAGAGTGAATAAAGAAGGAAAATTTTTCTTCTTCTAATGGCACCTTATAATAAAACAGAGATTAGGTTATGAAAAAATGTTTTTCATTTACAGGGATAACAATAAAATATCTTTATATTTGTTGAATGGATGAATGAATGAAAACTTATGATTGAAAAAGGTTTTTTTGCACAAATTTTAAATGAATTTGAATGATAATTTCTGACTTAAAGTCATTTGCTTAATGAGAAAAGATTTTTTGACTGGAATCATATCATAGATTAAAGGCACTGTGCATAGAGGTCATAGATCAGCAGCAAAAAAAAAAAAAGGAGAAAACAGCAGAAGGCAATAACCTTGAACTTTTAAGCAAGGCACAACGTGATGCCAAATATGGACAAAGAGAATAAAACAGATTATATATATATATATATTTTATATAAGAAATAAAGTTTGTGTATCTTTATATAATTTTAAAATCAATTTTTACAAATATTATAGCTTCAACATGACTATAATGATTGGTACGAAAATAATTCCATTTATGATTTTGGTTAAAAAATAGCAAACAATTGATATAGATTCTAATGAAAGATTACATTCGCAACTCCAGCTAATTATTCAAATCATGGATTATGTACAAATGAATATAAAATTTGTTCCTATGACAACTGAGATTACTTGTTACTATGACAACAGATTTGTAAAATTTCAGCGTATTTTTATATATATATAGTGTTTAACAATGACTACAGTTAGATCAACAGTAAATAACATTCGCATGTTCCAATAAAAACATTGCTTCTTTAAAATACTATACATTTGAAAACAAAAATAACAGTAAAACGTAATTCAATTGGTCAATTTCCAAAAGGAAACAGCCTATCATCCGCTTTGTGCAGACATTTTTTAACATCACACCTCCATAGTAACTGTTGCTAGTAGCAACCAAAAACAATTTGCCATTATTATAGAGATTTGAAATCTCCGTTATGTCCAACATAGGCCTTATAAAGCCTTTTTATACATTCTTAGCGAATATTTGAAACATTTCTTCCCACAATACACTACTCTTGATTCAATCGTCTTCCTTGTCTTTTTGTGGCTTGATGTCGCAGGCTTCAAACAACTCTTCTGGAGTGTATCCCAGAAGACTTTGTAGGTCACAAACAAAGCGATATACATAGCGTTTACCAGCTGTCTTATGAATAATGTTTTTATCGTAATAGTAGCGTAACCCGCGACTTAATTTTTCATAGTTCATCTTGGGTTTATTTTTACGATTTCCCCAGCGACGGGCAACCTCATCAGGGTCAGAAAGTTTGAACTCCCAGCCGTCTCCGGTCCAGGATATAAAATGTTGACAGGATTTGTCTGTTAATTGTTCTAGTAAAAACTGCCACAATTGGATTGGTCCACTTCCTGCAAAATACAAAAAGTAAAACAAAAATTATATGAAATGCATGAAATGAAAAAAGCATCAGGCATAGTTAGAGGGTTTGAAGTGGGCTCAGTCCATGGCAGTCTACAGTCCAAATGTAAATTATGAATTCGTTTTCATTTGGATTTCTGACCTAACTATTTGATTCTAAGTACTGTTTGCACAGATGTAGTTGAAATAAGTCAATGACTGACAGAAAGCCTGGCCTGGTTGCTAATTAGTTTCAGAGGCAGTCATGTAACTCAATTTCATCTTTTTATCTGTCAGAATTATCTGTTGAAAAAATCTTTTATATCTTTAAAAAAAATATATAAACAAATAAAATAGTAAAATTTGAATGATGTGACTACTATTCATAAATATATGGAATTGGCAACACATTTGAAATGAAATGAAATGGGGTTTAACTTCCTACTATTCTGCACATTCTGTTTTGATATGCATGTAATACAAGAATGAATTGCACCAGATTTTATGTCAAATTGACACAATATTAGTATTGCAGTATGTAAATCGCAACGGCATGAATCAGAATTCTAAAATAATTTTATCAAGACATTTTTTTCTCCCCACATTGTATCAATTCTAAAGGTAAACCATTCTTGCATTGTAGCGAATAACAGGCTTGCACTCAAAACCACTTACCAATTTATAAGTTTTACCAAATATAAAATACATTGACATAAAGATTGCCTTCCGTTAAACGCAAAGTTTATCGCAACCAGACAGACGAACAAAGAACTGACATATAGTCAACTTCTGTTTATTTCAACGACCGTGTGCAAATCATTTAAAACGGCTGAAAATCATTGAGAACGAAATAACAATACGCAAAGTCATTTATCCCATATGAGCTTTGTTAAATGAAAGACGTGTAGCGTGGACCAATAGAAATAAAGATAACAGTGGTGTGATGTCAGGTGACATTATGCAATGTACACGCACCATGGTGATATTTAACAGATGTGATCAACGTAATATTATTTATAAACTTCTAAATTTAATCTGATGCAATTCTACTTCGTATTTTAATTCAAAAATTGTATTTATACAAATTTTATATTAATCAATGGATAAACTTAAGGAGCTAAATCGCTAATATTTGGAACCTAGAAATTGACACAAATGGGTCGAAACGCATATAATAATGTAATATGAATGTATATAAACTGATTTACATTCAATCGTTTCTGTTTTTATTGTAATATCTAATCAGTTATGCTCAGCGAAATACGCCAGAAGTCTCAGTTGAATGGCAATCTATAGCGTCTGGTTATTTCAATCTACGCCGAAAGTATTTATTGTGCATGCTCTCCAGATAAGAATATGGCGTAAAATATTGGATATCCCCGGTAAGATCACAACATCAATATTGATTTAAATCGACAAATAATTCATGTTTTCAATGTTGAAGACTTTGGATGATACTGAGTTACAGACTTAGCTACTTTAATTGATATTTATGAGTTTAAAATAGGGATATATAATTTCCTAAAAAGCATACTGTTTTTAAGAAATGCTTCCAAGTTCTGCAGAAGTTACAAATTTTAGTAATCGCTGAATGGAACTAAATTAATCAATGTTTCCAAACTGAAATTTTTTGGGAAATTTAATTGTTTCAGATTTCAGAGTATTTTGTACACTAATCAATTAGTTTAATTTCCCCAAAGATCTATATCTTAGGATTCTAAAAAGATAGTAAAGTATTATGAAATTTAAACCAACTAAATAATTATCAAAATACTGATAAAACCAGAATTTCAGGTTAGTATTAAAAAGTCTAACTTTCGTGGGGGATATAGAAGAAGAAAAAGAGAAGCTGTTTTAAATTTCACCCATTTCAAATCTCAAGTTTTCTGTTTTAAATTATTTAATTTAGAATTCAAGTCAAATTAATTAGAGTTTTACAAGGTTTTAAGCTGCAGTCTCTAAAACAACTGGCGCCAATTTCTGTGTAATCTCACCCCATCTAAAGGTTGAAATAAACCCCAGAAAGTGTGGGGGCGGGAGCATCATTATATCTTTAACATCAACAAGGTCTGAGGATAAATTTTATAATTTTAAACAGCTTCAAGTATCGTGGATATGAACAGTTGTGCAGACCTTTTAAACGATTTTAATCGAAAAAGAAAAACAGTACAATTCTTATGTAATTGCAGATTTTAATCCTCTCGCTATACGATGTCCACATAATTTTAGAATTAAAAATCATGCAACATAGAAAGTTTAAATTTTTATCTGCCAAATAAAACTCTATCATCTTAAAATGATCAACTAAAAACCATTAAAGTCTGAAACTTCAGACTCTTTCATAATAAAAGTCTTGAAATATTAAAACGTAGAATCCTTATTTTATTTTCTAAAAGTCTGTTATTTACTGATCCTAAATGAGGCCATATATCAGACTACTGTTTATATGTACCAACTGTATTTGTTCTCTCGACCCTTTTAACTATATTTATATGTATATGTGTATGTGTACTGTATATATATATATATGTATATGCGGAGACAGCTGTATGAAGCTGGATGTTAAATGTATAGCGGTAAGATTGTGGCAGCACCTGTGTTGAGCCGCGGCCAACTGGAGCATCATTATCTCTGGGAAAATAGGTTTAATGTTTTACGGCTTAAGTTTGCTTTACTTTTTATTAAATTATCTGGCATCCAAGATGAATACTAAATTATTGTGCAATTTGGATTTATTTTATTGTCTAAATACAAATGCACAACAAAATTAGTTATTCATGATAACATGTCTTCTGAACTGAATGGGAAGTTACATACAATGTTCTAGAAAGAGTACTAACATCCCTTACTATTTATAGCTGATTACCCCAACATCAAATAATTATATCCTATTCTATCAATAGCACTGATCGTCATTAAAGATATTGTGAATCCCTTGCAAATTAAAATATTGTGGAAGTTAAATCTCTTAACAGAAATATCAATTCAAAAAAAGTTCTATTCCATGATGAATTGAAATTTTTGTAACATTTGATAGCCTCTGTTACCAATATAAACAAGACAGTGGCCCCCTGTAGGTGATTGGTAAAATCTTGTTGGGTATCCTTTTAATTCGATTAAATCCAAGCCATTTTGTTTTTGTTTTCTTAATTAAAGGTTAAATGAACAATTTGGATTAAGCTGTAAAAAATTATATATTGCCCGCAAATGATCAGAGGCTTTTTTGAAAGTAAGATGATGAAAACGACATTTGGGTAAAATTCAAAATAATGCGAAACTTTAAAAAAAAACAGATTTCCCTAAATAGCTACTTATTAGTTCATATTAACATAGAACTTTATTATTTTTTAGACCTGATAAAAGAATTAAATGGGGTAAATCCTGCAAGTAAAACACAGCTTCATAACTTTATTTCATGCTAGAAACTAACTAATTAGCAATCACATTAATCTTATTTCTTTTAAGCAGTAATTTAATATCCTTAATTAGTTCAAATTCTACCAAAAGTTTTTCGAAATCAGTGGGACGGAACATGTTGGCACCTCATTGCAAACCTTTACAAAAACAACGACCTATATTAATGGATTTTTAATTAAGTTCATCGTCATGGAAATGCATTTTTTTTTAATGGTTGGAATCTTGTTTATTCTAAGGTGAAACAAACTTCAGAAATATCACCATTTTTTAACCGTCACTTTAAATAATTGGTCTGGCTACAAAGTTTTAAAAATGTTTTTCTCGTTTAATTAAAGGATTCTGAAATAAAAAGACATTTGGTGAATTTGTCTTTTAGACAATTTACAAGAAGAAAAAATTAATCACCGAAAAACTTGGTAATAATTTTGTTAATTTTGAAATGACACTTCCGGTAATATAACGTCAGAAAAAATATTAGGTACATGTAATAATGTCAGCACCTTAAGGTTTGGGTTTTTTTTGTTACATGATAATATATTATATTACTAAGCTACACCAATAATCTAATCTTTCTTTTATCTACAACTGTGTGCATACTGTTCTCGTTTCTCTATTTTGAATACAGCTATCATGTACTTGTTAAGAATACGGAAAATTAACATTCGAAAATCTGAAAATTTACATTAAATGATCCACACCTTTCTGTTTATTTACTAGATAAGCCAGCAGCATTGACTATAATCCTCGGTTGGTTGGATTTTTCATACTTTAAAAATGAAATAGGGGTTTAACATCTGATATTTCTGCACCAACTGGGAATATTCCATGCAGTGTGCCGTAAGGGCAATTTGAGAACAAAATCACTACAGTCTACTCTTTCTATTGTCAGGAGATCTGACCAATTCTGCCAACAGGACATCGGTTTTTCATCCCACTCAAATGACTATACACTTTTCCTTGCCAGGCACCCGCAATAATACAGAGAGTGAGAAAGAATAAAGTCGAAATAAACCATGATGAAGGGACCAAGTTGAAAAAGACATAAGTTTTATATTTTCTCGGAGTTAATCAGTTACAATACAGTGCAGAATAATATTTATATTGAATAATGAAAACAAGCCGAGGACGACAATAAGATCTTCTTTAACTATTTATATAATGATAATAAACATGGCATCGTTTCCACATCCATGCTACGTATTCTCAGGACATCTTCACCTTTTCTCTCGTTCTACCAGGTGTCTCTAGTTGTATGTTGTTGTTATAACAACTCGCGTTTCATTGTTAGATAATAACTTATATTTCTACACTCTCTCGGTTTTCTACTCACAGATTAAATTCATCTTATTCCTGTAATTCTTGGATATACAGATTAACACCAAATGTATATCATGCTTTATTTATAAAGATTGGATTGGATTTACGTCTCGAGAGAGAGATGGGGTTTAAGTTGAAAACTCACTTGACGCTAACTAGGTCCTTTCAAGACTAACACCTGGTATATTTTTATTGCAATGAGTCACTTTTGCACAGGGGTCTTTAGAAGTGAGAGGGAGCCACGGTGGCTAAGTGAGTAAGTTGCAGACTCGCTAGCCTGAAGGTCGTGCGTTAGATCCCAGTGTTGGCCGAATAAGTTTATTAGGATTTATTGCCGTGGTTTCCCCTTCTCAGTGGTGCAGGACGGAGGGCCTGACAAGAGATGAAATACCGAGGTCCTGTGTATACACTGATGTGCAAGTAAAAGATTTCTTGGCAGTTTGAATTCGATAAAGAAGAGTAGGCCGTAGCGCCACTGTCCAGGCAAAATTTCCCTTATAGCACACTGTATGGCATATATCTGTCTTCATTAGCCCAGGACATTAAACCCCATTTCATGTCACTTTAGAAGTGGGAGAAAAGCAGATTACCTAGAAAAAGGTGCACAAGGTTAGGCAGTCGACCCTAAATCAGTTACTCCTAGTCAAGTACAAACCCAGGCTTTACGTTACCAGTTAGACCACCTGGCCACAATATCCCCCTGTGGATGAATTAGTGCTGTAGACGAGACAGAGTGTGCTTACTCCATCCTAAACATATGCTTTTACTTTGCATTAAATGGGGATGCTTGCAACGGCTAACAAGTAAGAAATTCTTCTCTGCCCACGTTTAGATTCATTCCCAACATATTGTAGTGGAGAGGCCTGGCCCTAATTTCACAAAACATTCTCAGACTTAAATTTAGAATTTACTCAAAACTGTTTGCTGTATTTTAACTAAAACATAGTCCTTGCGGTTTTAATGTATCAAATACATCAATAAAAAACTATTCGCAAAGTTTTGAATTTCTGGATCAAAGATATTTCTCATAAACAGTGATTGAAAGTTGAGTAAATTCTGAACTTAATTAAGTCTGAGAATGCTTTGTGAAACTGGGGGCCAGTACCCTCCTGATCAATTACCTAGACTAAAATAAATAGATTTCGTACCATGCTTTATCAGATTATCATTTCTATCAAAATCAACATCTCTCTGCGGTAATGGTAATAACTAGAATGACATTTATTTATTTCTGCCATTTATTGTTGGATCAAGATGTTTTGTTGTATAAAGAGCAAAAGATTTTTTTAATTCACCATGTCGATGTCTAGGAGGAGTATTTTTATAAAGTTTGTAACTCTATCTATGTAAGAAGGCTGGGAACATTTGTTTGGTATAGTATCGGCAACGATTTATCGTATTTTATCTCGCTCGTTTACTGTTTATATACCAAACATATCACTTTTATTCCACAAACATTTGAACACAACTTTTTCACACACTTTCTCATGTTTTTCCTTTTTTCTTTATATGAAAATAGAGATTTTTTTTTCTACATTTCTGCATGGCTAATTGAAATGTATTCCTTATTTCTTAAATTATACTTAGATGAAACATGCTAAAAAAATACAGCAGACAAAACAATCTTTTGTTTCTAAAAATAAAAAGTAAAAATATTGACCGCAATGCCAATCATTGCTAAATGTAAAGTCTTTTTTTATGAAAAAAAAAAAAATTTCTTTGTTTTTGTTAAAGTGACAAATTTTATTTTCATCTTGATACTCTGATTAAATTTGCATTATCTATATTACTTAGCTTGGCCAATAAGTTGTGTGTGTGATTCTATTGGGCAGTTAGTGTTGCACGGTCATTTACTTTAATCAAGTCATACTTCATCCTCTTCTTTAATGTTAAAATTTCAGTGTTTTTTGCAATATAAAGTAATCAAAAGTTAGTAGAAATGCAATTGACCATTACTGGATATTTAGAATGTAATTAATAACTTGTCCATTACATATTACATGCCTGTTACTTTGAACTGTGAACTGATTATTTTCCATTACACATTACCGGGGGGGCACGATATGACATTTAAAATACTTTTATGAAAAACTGATGACCACTCTCTAAGAATTGAATATACATGTATGTGTTCTAAGTTTTATAGGGAATTAGAATGGTTTGCAAAAGTGACCACATTCCAACGTAAATGTTGCGATTTAACAATACTAGACTTCTGGCATGTTACCCAGATAGCTTGTTAAATCTTTTTGAAATATTACCCTTTGCAGTGTAATAAACAGTGATTGTATCCTTACCAATGGAAAGTCACCAAAAAGTAACTGAATGCTGTCAAAAATCAACAATTTTTTTAAAACTTACCGGAATATCCTGCAAGAGCTGCCGCCTGGATCATTGGTTTATTTTGTTCGCTACCATCTGGCGTTCCGACTCGCAGATTATGGAAAGGTGAAGGTCCGAGACCAGTGCGTAAATCGGCTGCTTGCCAACTGTCAGTGAGATCTTGTGAGTGACCGTATTCCTGGGTAGACCAAGGTCGTTCTTGTTTTATACTAGGAACCGTCTGATAAGGTTGTTCGTAGAAATGTTCTTGTGGTGGGGTATCGGGCATATATTGACCTGCAAAATATTTGAAAAAATTCAATAAAATTAAAACTGATTTCAATAGATGGTGATTTATCTTTCAGACACAGTATTCCTCTAGTGCCGATCATTTTGTCAGACACATATAGTTTCTTCTCAATCAAAACAATGTGATATTTGCTAGTCCTATAGCACATCAACATTTTTAAAATTTTATTTCTTTTACGACATTAAATTACAAGCAGATCAAAATAACTAAAAGTAAAATTAAGCAGACTTAAGTACATTGTAATAGATTTATTTTTGTACAACAAAAATATTATATAATACAGAAAATTAAATTTAGTAAAAAAAGTGATATTAAATGTCGTCTACACAGAAATAACGTTCTTTTCAATTTATTTTAAGAGGGATCAAGACAGGGGTGTCAAACTAATATTGCTTCAGGGGTCACATGAACTCAATTTTACATCAAGTGAACCGGAGATATACAAAAATATCAAGATGAAGAAAATTTTATTGATTTATTTGACTAATATCGTTACATATTATAATGCAATTCAATACTTTGAAATGGACCAAATTAGCCGACTTAGAAATCTGTGACATAAATGATTTCCACCGCTAGTTTCTAAGAATTATTGACACTTCAGTTTGTTGAAATTTGTTCCACAGGCCACATTTAAACCCTTGGCGGGCCGGATCTAGTTTGCGGGCCGCATGTTTGACACCTCTGGATAAGATGTCAATCACATCATCAAACTTTTATTGGGCTATAAAACTGTGGTCACACTTTGATTTAATGAAATGAAATATCAAAATAACATTCAGTCGAGAAATAACACCATTTTATGTGTAATCGAATCTATGATCAGTCGCCATGAAAAAAAAATACAATTTCTTTTGGTGATGATATTTGATTTAAATTAATATCATATTTAACCAAATAAGCACATAATGTATGTCACAAGTCTACTTCATTTTTAATTCCATCTAATCGCTAGTTCCAGTCAATACGTGAGACATGTCAGAGCCTGACTTGAAAGTTCTTGGTTGAATGATATTATACCAAGCTGGGACATTCGTTTAGAAACAATTTTCTGACAGCCCTGCAGGCAATATCTATCTTGTAAGTTCTTGGCTCAACACTATTAGTCCAACCTGTGACATTCAGGTCTAAAGTTTACTCAATCTTTAACATTTTTCTCATAACAATGTGTGCGATTTTTTGGTTGAATACAATAAACAAATGAATCCAAGAAAAAAAAGTAAAAGTATAAGTTTCATGTCGATTAAAATTATATAAAATATGATTTTTCCCAATCTGATTAAAACGCAGATACTATTTCGTTTCGTTTTTATAGTTCAAAATTTCGTTTTACTTGTCTTTACTACACTAGGATCTGGAAGAGTTGTTATCATTGACGTGTTCTGAATGATGTGAGGGAATAGCTAATGAAACGGTCTGTTACGGCGAGCTTTAGGCGTGTTTTGCGCGGAACTGTGGGTAATCCACTAGTAACATAAATGCTGATTGGTTAATCAAATGTCTGACGTCATTGGATCAAAAGCTGCTCGTATGACCTCTGAAGCAATCTACCACTACAACTGGTCAGATCTTCATGTAGTAGAGGCCATCGAAAGTATAAAAAACGAAACGAAATATAGATCTGTATTTTAATCAGATTGCATATGGTATAGACATGACTTCATTAGTCCTGTTGTTTCAAAAAAGTTGGTTGTTAAACCCTATTTTATTTCATTCACTATATGTTTAACATTATTAAAATAAGCACATCAACTGTTTTATTTCCCCCTCTTGTGAATAGTTCCTGAAATTGGCAGACAGGGGGTGTACACCCACTATGGATACCTTCCTAGTATGTTTAACATTTATAAAACAAACACCAACTGTTTTATTCTCCCTCTTAACAATCATTCCAACATTTCATGAAATGCCAGCTACTCTTTGGTTCAATGCAGAATTGGCACAAATTTAAAAAAAAAAACAACAATAAATATCACTCATTGTAAATACCACATCATAGGAAAAAAAACCTGTTCTCACAGAATTATCGCAAATCATAACAATTCACAGACACAGATTATAAACATAAATGTCAAGATATAGCGATTCATGTGGTACTTCATTGAAACAGCAAAAAGTCCAGCAATTGGTCTATAAAAAACATTTTATTGCACTGCCGTGAACCTTCAACCCGGTTTATCCACAACATCTGCCATTTTAAAAAATAGAATAGATCTCAAATATTTTCCATTTAATGCCAATGAATGGTGACCTCTGACCTATAATCTGTGAATGGGAATCGTTTTGGTTCCACGGGTGCCATTTACAGACAAAACAATGAAATTTTTGATGATTCCAGGCTGTGATTTCATTAGTCTCTGTTTTCCTTTCCGCCAATTTTCAAATGTTATCAAACTTTAATCTCGATTGTTTTAAATACTTGTAGTCATTTTGATTCTTATTTATAACAATAAAATGTTCAGCTGTGTGAACTTCTCAAACAGAGAAGTGGTATCAGGTGTTATAGAAAGACTAAGCCTACCCTGTCTTGTGCATGACACTGGTGACTAGTCATACTCATTCATCGCAAGAATGACGAAATTTCAATTCAAAATCTAAACCAAGGCCAGATTTCAGAAATCTAATCAAGGACTTTAATAAAATATTCAGCTAGTTACAAAAAAGAACACTGGCATTTTCAAGCCAGAAGTGTGTAGTGTTCTGCAAAAAGTAATGCAATGTGCAAGCCCAAAGCAATCAATTTTAAGCCGGCCTGTTCAGTCGTTTGTACACCTGCTTAACTTAAGCATCAGAATAGCATACATCAAGCAATTATCCAACAATAAGTTTTATTTGTCCCACTATTCTTGAAATTTGCTTTCCTCTTGATCCCCTACCACTTAAAAATTCCTGCCATACATACTGCCTGAATGCCATTGACGGATTGTTGGAGCATGTTTTTGAGTTGTGTTTAGCCTGGGGGTAGAATAAGTTCTAACATTGGTCAGCCATATGTTATAAACACAACCTGCTGTAGTTACTATAAACTAAAAAGCATGAATGAATGTCCATTCCCTCTGACCTTCAAAAGCTTCAATCATAAACTGACCAGTGACTGCTTCATTCTTTACACATCACATGATCTGCTAACATATGCTACAATTCATTGATATCTACACAGGGTGAGACATACATAAAGCACAATCAGTTCAGTGCAAATACAATCAATAATTCTTATTTAAATGACAGGAATATTGTATGAGACAGGGTATGCTTACTCCTCCTGGAACACACTATACCACTTCTTGTTAAACATTTTGCAGTTTATCAAAAGTGGTCATAAATCCAAATTCGAAGGTGTAGGTTGAGAAATATCCATTTTGAATACGAATAAGAAACCACTATTCAAAGAAGATAATTGACATGTAAATTACATTTTTGAAACTTTGACGTAGATAATAAGAAAGGTAATAGAGTCATTATTATTTAGCACTTATTAGCAGCAGGTGACAAAAAAAAAAACATCCTCGTTAAAACTCCAATCTCCTGGTAACAACCTTCAAACCATCTTTAAAATCTTAATTTCTGTGGAGTAATGCATGACGAGCATCTGTTGTTGTAAAGAGAACACCCGTCAACTTTTCACCTAACTGCTACCAGAGGGTGTGATTTTAATTAAAACACTATATTTAAACAGAACGCAGATCTAAGTGAATCTAAAAGTACCTGAATGGAACCCAAGACAGACACAACTTGCTTAAAATATTCAATTAGAGAACACAAGCATGAAATAAAAAGAACACCAATGATGAAAAACAAAAGTTGTTTAAGATTATGTTGGTTATTCAGGGGGGTTGAAACAGCGGTGGTTAATCTGACAGACCACCCAAATAGTGTCCATGGGCAATATGGTGCAATATACATTTACCCTCATTATCTCCGTATACCACAGTAATATATACCCGTTGAGATAATATACCATGGCTATATCAATAGATTCTTGATTACCCAGTGAATATAAATATGACAGATTTTAATTTTTGGTCTTTTCCGTAACAAATTAAAAGTTTGCCATGAACAAATAATGTATTTCATCTGAATTTGAATCAATTTAGCTGGGAAAAGATATCAAAGAAAAGTACAACAAATGGTACTAATATCATCATTTTCGTTACTTGTAAATAAAATGAAATGGGTTTTAACAAACGGTGTGACACTTGAAACATCTGATGTCATTTCTTGTGTAAATGAAATGGGTTTAATTTAATATGTCTTACTCTTCTGCAGCAATCGGGCCAATGTAGATGGGTTATTGTTTGTAATACATACATGTATATGTATTTACATTTTACCCAAATCTTAATCTATTCTCTCCTTAGCTTTATTCATTTTACATGTTTGGCAGACGGCCATTTTCTCCAGGTTCTTTCTACCAGAAATTATAAAGATAACAAGCGATTTTACCTCCATTATTTAAATTGAATCTTAGCAGACGCACTGATGTAAACATGATGGTCGTCCGAAACACGCTATCCACCCGCGCTTCGACACATTTTTGGCACGGTTATTACATTCCTGCACATGAGAACTGCGGCCGACATTTATAATAAAGATAAGAATGAGATTATTACATGAATGAGCTTTGAGTTTTATTGCTATCGTTTATTTGTTTCTCGTTTTTTTCAGGGGAGATAAAAAAAAACTTTGCATGCTTCAAGGTTATAAAAGCAAATTTTGATCTTAGATCACATTATGCAGACATGTTTTGTGAAAACGAGAAAAGACTTCCAACAGGTAACAAAAATATTGTAACTGATCTAACATGAATCGTAAAGAAAGTGAACGAGTTAAGCATCACATCAAGTCATTGTTAGACTATATTATTACCTTTAACATGGTTATGTTTGCCATATAGAAATGTCCTTTCTGTCTACCCTTCTTTGAATTCCAACTATCACAAGATATTTAGTACACTATCAAGTTTTAAATGCCCACCACCAAGTTTTAAATTCATAACAACAACTAAATCTAAATTCTATTATAAGATGCATCATTTATCTGTAGGAATCAAATGTACATGGATTATTTTGTCTGCCAACAAGAGGTCTTTTAACCACACTACCAATTTCCAAATTTGCAACACCAACTAAATCTAAATCGCATTACCCATATATTAAACACACTGAAATAGGATGCATCATTTATCTATCAGAATCAAAACTACACAGGGTTTTTTTCTGCCCAAAAGAGATTTTATTCATATATTTATATTAACTTAATGTCAGCTGAAAACATTTGGTTACGATTGAAATCGTGAGATTTTCTCAGATTGTAATTTTACCATCAACAAACGCGAGTCGGTGGAAGATTTCGCTATAAACACAATGGCTAACACATGTGAGAATACGAGTTGAATTCTATTTCAATCCCGTCTTTGTTCTCCATACACAAACCTGCTTCTCATTCCTTGGTTAAATCAACCCAGTTACCTGCCCCTTTCACATCAACTCTTCTGTCACAGAGTACAAACAACTCACAGTTGCTATGGTGTGATGTCAAGAAAGACATTAGTAAGTTCATCGTCCCCCGTAACGTAATCCGTTGTTAGGTAATTTTAATCGACAACTGTCACAAGGACCCCAAGTTCGTAAAAATTTCTCCTGACCCGAGCCACTTATATTTTAACGTGAACAGTTTGTTGGATATTAATATCCTCAACAATATAAAGCAGATTCGAAATATTTACAGTTGGCAGGTTGAGACGAGTGCGATGTCAGAGAAAAGTTTCTCCGTTTTACCCAAAGAGATGAAAACAATATCGTAGGAAGATATTGACGTATTCTCAAAGATCAAAATAATATTTCTCTTTTGATAGTTTCATATTTCTATAACACTTCGGTGTCAGAGTTTATCAATGGGTGGACTGAACCTGGATGGAACGATCAGAAATACGGTGCCAATCTTTTAAATAAATGTCACAGAGTAAACATTAAAGACCTTAAATACCTAATAATTACAAGAAAGAGAGAAATGGGGTTTAATGTCCATTTAATGCAAACTCATTCCTTTTGGGACTAACATATAGTTTTGGGGTTTTTTTTTAATAATTAGCTTGCAATGGGTCTTAAGCAGTTAGTGGAGAACCTGGAGAAAGCCAATGAAGTTAGAAAATGCAACACATGACTCAATGGCTGACCTTATGAGCTAACACGCAGGCATTAGACCACCTATTCCCCTCCCAAGCCACCAAAAACACTTTGAACATGTGTTAAAATGGGTACCTGGTATCTAAACTTTAAACCTCAGTTAATGTTGGATGACAAAATGTAGCACATAGCAAAAATCTTTTTTGTAAATATCAAATAAAACTAATGTTCGCAGGAAAACTTTTTTTTAAAGGACAAACGATTTGCACTCAAATGTTTCATGATGGTTTAGAAAGGGTAAGAGTGAAAGATTTTGTTTTCTATTTTCTAGCATGTAACATCTCACGTAGTTTATGATATGTATCCTTATATGAGAAACGCAAGTTTCTGTGTTCTGTCCTCTGCTGTGGTAAAATACAACTTTCAATTTCAGATTTAAATACAATCTATTTCAACTTAATTCTAATACTTGTTTTCGACAATTTGCTTGTATGCAGAGAACAAAGATACCCGAAAATACCAAAACAAAAAAAACATTAAACCTACCTCTGTAATGTTTATTAGGGATTCTGTATTTTTGTTCACCCATCATCGGGTAAAATTCTGCGTGACTTTGGTCGAAATAATTTTGACTGTGTTCCAAACTCTGATAATCGGACGTATCTTCGTAGTTACTGGTCATTATGTTCTCGCTACTGATCTCATTCAACGTCTGAAGGGATTCGGAAATCGGGTAGGAACCTGGAATTAAATAATCTTTAAATATAGTCCCATTTAAAATCAAAATGTAACAAAATTAACGTCAAGCGCAATATCTAATTTTTCACATCTTAAACCATGCTAAAATTTATTCAAGTTAATTATATCCAAAACATCATTAATTTATAATCTGCTGGCTATGATTCATATGGATTAAACAGAGGCACATCACAACATTTTACACAATACTTATCAGTGGCACTGGTTTGTTTATATTGCTTGGTGTTTTCAATTCATCCCATCTCTGAATGGAACTGGGCCGTGTTTCTCGAAATCTTAACTAAAGATAAAATCCAAACTATAGTAGATACTTCAATTTTGATTGGTTAAGCACTATAATCAATCTTATGTTATCCAATCAAATTACTAAAATTTGGATTTTATCTTAGTTAAAATTTCTTGAAACAACCCCCTGAACCATTTTTGGACTGATATTCCGTTTAGAGATTTTCCTTTCAAATATTGTAGTTTGTAAGAGACTTAAAATCCTTCAAATGACAATCTATAAATGTATTAAAAAAAAAACAAATCTTACTTTCAATATATGGCTGGCTTGTTGGAACGACAGGCATTGACTGATCTGAATTAGAAAAACCTGAAAAAGAAAACAAAAAAATTTGAAGATGAAAATAGTGCTTCAAGGATATCTTGCTGTCAAAGGGCATTCGATACTCTTCTTGGTTGTCTTATAAAATTTTGAAAATGAGCATAAAATTACAAAGCCTACCCTTTCAATATCTAAATAATGAAGAGATTCCCTAAAATTCTACTAAAAATAGTTTAGTCAGAAAGTCTGAAAGATTCCACTCTATAATAGCATGGTACATCACACGATACTGTGAAAGGTTAAAAGTCTATCGTATCACATGACCAGTCAAGTGATGATGTAATAACAGGCGTTTATTTTACACCAAGAATCGAGGTGACCCGCTATATTTTGTTAAAGAGATGATAAAAACTAAATAACTCTCAGCACAAATATTAAAAGGTTAAATAATGTTTTAGAACATTTGGAGAGAAAATTAAATCGCCACTAGTCCTTTCGGGACTCAAACATGATTACTTAGAAAACATCTGTAACTAGGGCTACTTTGACTGCCCTTCAACATCCAAGTCACGTTTATAGCTGCGGCGCCCCATGAGCTAGTATATGGTCCTACAACACACAGATCTATCAACATATCTCGGAACCAGAAGTATTAGAAATATAGCTGGTGGTTTAACGTCTACAGATAGTACTTGCTCCTATGAACTAAAACATCATTAACACACCTTAATGATGTTCTCTGCTCACTAAAAACTTAAATTGAATTATTCTAAGAATGCAGACTTTACATTGGCTAAGAGCTCAAATTTTGCACTATAATTTTAAATGTAAGCTAATCAAAAGGCTGAATCCTTAAAACATATGAGATTAAGCTTCCATCAATATCCTCTAAGTTCTTTAGCACTGGATGGCAAAGGGAGAAAACCCTTTACAGTGATCCATAAGTTTTGCGTAACATACCAGTAGGACAGGGTTCATACTAAGGCTACAACATGACCTATCAGGCTTTATTCATCAAAACTTTAAAATATTTTTATTGGCTAGATTTTAACCCTCAACTAATGAAAAGGCTATGTCCTTAAAATATTTTAGGTAAGTCTTCATTAATAAGGCCTCTGTAGTGTACAACACTTGAATCTTTTGGAAATTTCTAAAAGACTACAAAAAAGGGAATAATGTCCTGTGATCTTACCTTGCTGATTTTGTTGGACATATCGCTCTCCAAACTCTGGTACACAGACAGGTTCGCTGTAGTTCTGTGGTACATTACACAGTAGCGCTCGTTCCTGGGCAATTTCTGCAAATATATAGTAACATATTCTTAAATATTTATTTTGTATAACGGAACTTTACTTTAAAACAGAAATGAAGTTTAAGGTCCTACTTTTATCCACCAACCGAGCTAACAAAGGCGGCTTTTAAAACAGGGTCCACGAATGTGATTGTTTACATCAGATGATAATTTGTTTGTTTGATGAGTATTACAACGGACACTTACCTTTCTGAAGAATGTCAATATGTTCATACAGAATATCTCCAACATATGGCGGACAACGACTTAAGAACTCTTCTTTGTCAAGCTTACAGAGTTCCTTCCCTTTCACATTAAAATTACTCATATTTATGCCTTCTAGACTGAAATCTTTAATGGCCCATGATAACCACTGTATAACATGCAACTCACTCCATTGTGATGGATCTGAAAACAAAGAGAAAATATATTAATTTAAAAAATTAGAGATTTGAGAACCTTGCGTCTGTTATTATGAGGTTGATCATCATCCTTGACAACTGTTTGGATAATTAATGTAAATAAACACTGGGTATTTTCTTGAGGATTTAATAATGACAAATCGTTCCATAAACATGTCTTTTGACCATACGCTAGCAGGATGGTCATAAAGACAAAATGAAATAAAAAAACTAATTAAATAAAATACAAAAGAAATGAAATGAATATTATAGTGAGAAGTTCTCTTTATCTAATCTTCCATAATGTATCTTTAATCACAAAATCTATCCTGTAAAAATACGATACTCATACGCGACATCTTTTCAGTAATCAACACAAAAACATAATATGGAACACTATTACTATGTTTATTATATGTGTAAATTGGTAAATAACACTCAAAGAAGAGATCTTTTCGATAACTCAAATCTATCTATTTTCATCAATATCAATGTAATGATAATCAAAAGAATCATTGATGAGTAAGTAATTTCAATTTATTTCACAAAATATGTTTGAGATCGGTTCACGCAAACAAGCACAAAATATGCATTTATGCATCTTATCAAAATTGAATCCTTCAATATTGAAATATTTTATGCAACAATTAATACCTTTATCTGCAGCTTAACGCTCAATTGAATCTAGGTCTCTTGAGCTTATTGGTACATGTATCAACAATTATAAGCATATAATATTAAAATATGTACATAATCTTACTATGTTGAGTATGCTCTCTAGTGTTCATATTAACTGGTTTTAAAATTTTACTTTTTAAATTTTTGATCTGAACCAGATAACAGTAAAACAGTTCCCTTGCTAGTCTATTTCATTTTCAATTATTCAAATTTGATATCTCCTTTATTTACCTTTTATTTCAATTTACAATGAAGTGAAGCATGATAATTTGTCTGATTAGAATGGAATTATTCCATAAAATAAAACAAGCAGAATGGTTTGATAACAAATTTATTGAGAATAGTCGGGCGGGGTTCAATACTTTTCTATTCATATTCTACAGACAAGGTTAAACTTATTTTATTCATAGCTAGTTAAAACTTTTTATTCATAGCTAGTTAAAACATATTTTATTGATAGCTAATATAAATTTATTGTTTTATATCTTGTATAAACTTATTTTATTTATATGGCTAGTTTAAGCTTATTCTATTTATAGCTAGTTAGCTAGTTTAAGCTTATTTATTTATAGTTTAATTAGTATAAACTTATTTTATTTATATAGCCAGTTATAACTTATTCCGTTTATTGCTAGTTTAAGCTTATTTTATTTATAGCTAGTTTAAGCTTATTTTCTTTAAGCGCTTGAAATATCATAAGGGAAAGCAATGTTTTTACATAAGAATAAACTGTTTCCCTCGGCAACCATTTATCACAATATTAAATGCATCATTTGTGATATTCTCATTTTTTGTCATATGATCAACAATTTGATTGAAAACTAATTCAATTATTGTAACAATTGTTGAAATTTAATCCAAGCAATAATATTCTAAAGTAAACTTTGTCCAGGTAAAAAAATATTTATTATCTTAACAAGACAAAAACCAGGTGTGATAATTGCTCAGGTGTAAATATTATCCACGGGTAAAAATATAATGATGGACAACAGACCGCCGACTTGTTCCACACGAACGGGTTCCAAGGATCAGATTCCTGGAAATGACGGATTTTAGATGAATCTGCTTAATTTGTTAAGAGGACTATTGGTTATGAAAAACACAGAGAAAATTGACCCAAGTACCATGTGAATTATACAACTAAATGAGAAGGTCTTCTAGAAAGGATATCATATCCACCATCATGTACAATATTTCTCTCTACTCTTACAAATGTATATCCTTTTAGGACAATGACTACATGTATTCAAGTTAGATCTAAGAGATTTTATACCACTTCACTTGTGATTCTTGGCTTCTTTTCACAAGTTCTTAAACAATTAAGCACACACTTCTTTGTGTATGATACCCAGTGTATAGCTAAACAAAGAACTACTTGGTATCTGCAGTATTATTTTTTCATTACTGTTACCAAGATGAAAATCAAAAACAACATCAATGTTCTAACATTAGAAATCTGGATCTAATTCTAATAATCAAGTATTAAAGTTTGTTTATCCCTCCGTAAGAATATTTGACAATATTCCGAGGAAAGATTAGAAGATTCTATTCACATATTTCACTTGGATTTCTCAATAAAAAAGTAAGTAATTTTTAATGAATTTCACCTGTTGACGTGAAATCTGAGAAACGAGTAGGATTTATTAACCAATAAAATATATCCAATACAATAAATCTTTCGAGAAATTACAACCATATCTACATCTGTGATTGATTGATAGATGGCATGTACAAAAATGTTTTTGGGATCTATGATAGATATATACGTTTCTGACACAATCTATTTCAATTTTCAAGTACTTATAACTAAGGTTTATGATAATTAATGGGTGTCATGCAAGTGGAAGGGTATGCCTACACTTTCAAAATATCTGATACTACTTATCATTGATTACTGTAACTTTCCATAAGGGGCAATTCATTTCACCTTTCACGTACATGAACTTAACTAAATTTTACGTTAATTGACGGGTGTCAACCATAGGGAAAGGCATGCTTACTCTTTTGAAACATCTGATATCACTTCTCAGTTCTTAGCTGTCTACAATATTCATTGTACCTTTCAACAAGGGTCAAGAAATATGCAGCACATATTTTAGGTTTCTGTATGAAAGGATCATACAGTATTTAAAAAAATAATTTTGTACCCACCTCTTGGAATATTGAGTCGCCTTTGTTCCTTCTCAAAGGCCTTGAAACTCTCTACCAAGGCTTGTGACATTTTTTGTGTGGTTCCCGGTGTGAGAGGTGGAACTTGACTTGTGGGTAAATCTGAAAAATACAATAACAGGACAATATGAATATTTTTTTTAGCAAAAAAAACACAAAAATAAACAACAACATTGTAGTGGTACAGAAAGGTAGACAGTTTAATTTGTCCAGCTGAAAAATATTTAATGTGAGAGTATGTAAGTATAGCAATCAAGATGAGTTGGTTTAATCTAAGTGTAAAATAATTACAGTAACTTTTGGATAATTAACGCTGCCATTTAGTGTAATATTTTGGTTTGGTTAATCAACCGTTATGTTACTCTCACGTAACATTTTTAATAGTAAACCTATATAACAAGGTTTAATTAATTTAACACATTTCTTAACTCTGATGTCCTCCCAGTTTCTCGCCATGCTAACCTTCGAGTCACTGGTTTTATAAGATACCGTTACAACGCTTTTACAAACGCAACAGTTGGACGCCACAAGTTCAAAACTATCAAAGATACATCGACTAAACATCTAGGGTTTAAATCTTTTAACACTATCTTTAATACACTTCTAACACTTCGGTAAAAATTCTTCAGGTTTGCTGGATTTTTTTTGCAAATTATGTCATTTTCGCTGCTTTTTAAATAGTGATAGCAAATCACATTACTTAAACAATTAGCCTATAAATTATTTATGGACCATTTTTTTTTATTAGTATGTCATCTTTGCTTCTTTTTGATAATGGTAGCCAACCACATTACTTAAATATTTATCGTATAAATTACTCATGAAAGTGAACAGAAAGTGGGTATTAAACTCAAAGTATCTAAAGGCAAGACAATCTGGGTAAACAAATATGTTTCTTTGAATATATTTATAGTTCATGAAATGATGCATATTCTTAATTCACTCTGGTGAAAAGTCTAACAAATATATTAAACTTTTGATTTAAACTTCATTTTCTATTAGCTGATCTGATCACTATTCTTAAATAATATTTAGAAGTAGAACATTCATAATAACAAAATGTTATGGATTTACTAATTCTTTGTTTATTAAACAGCTTGATAAAGATACCTTTAAGATCACTGAAATGTTGCATGCAATAAAGCAAGAAGTAGTAAATCCATAAAGGTGTGTTATTATGCATACTCTGATCCGATTTAAGTTAATCTCTTGTAAAAATAGACTTGAATTTCTCTAGATATTCAAATCATTTTTCACAATGTATTCAAAGTTCCGGAGAAATGAACTGCAATTAAAAGACTTTAATTGGTAACATGTAAAACAAAACAAAACCGATGAGACAACCCTGCGGACAAAACCAACTACGCAGATATTGCAAGAAATAAATAACAAATATCAAATCAGGTGAATGGATCCCAGGGTCAGCCTTAGGCATCCACTGCGCTGACCTCGTGGGTTTTCTCCGGGTCCTCCGGTTTCCTCCCACTGCTAAAGACCCCTACGAGCAAGCGAATTATTGAAATAAAAATAAACCACATGTTAGTCCCGAAATGACCTAGTTTGTGTCGAGTGGACGTTAAACCCCATTTCTCTCTCTCCACTGCGCTGTACAGTACAGAGGTTTATATTTTAGTGTTCAGGAGTCCAGCTTGTGTTGTTGAATCTATGATATCATAGCAAGGTGGCTTTAATACTAAAACAGATGTAAAGTCATTGACTGCAAAAACATATTTATTCTCACTCGGTGCCGTTTAATAGCATTCCCAGAAACTCTGAAGGAGATGTATCAGGAATGGTTTGTTAAAAACTAGCAGGTTTCTCCACTGGTTCCAAGACTTGCAGGTGTTGTGGGCGTTAAATATTTCAACAAAAGATAAATAACACACAAATCTCTCAAAGTCATTAAGTTTCATTATTTTTCTTTTTAAAAAAAGCAAACCAACACTACAAACTCACTTAAATATTAAGATTTCTTCAGTTAATCTTTTAACATAAACTTGAAAAAAATATTGACTGCACCCAAAACATCATAAATCGAGGTGCTGAATGAAGTATATAACTAATCTCAAATGGTGAACATTAATTTTAAAATCTGGCACAGTAATAGTCAAATACACCTATTGGTAGCATTTCTTTAATATTAACGTTTGCTGTACAGACATAGAATCTAGTGTTTATAACACTTTAGTTAGGCCATTTTTTTATTTATGTATTTTCATTCTTTATGTCGAATGCAGACAATTTTCAGAGTTCTTTTGTACTTTTATCATCTCTTTTTTTTAATCATAATCTTTATTCGTATTTATAATTATTTTTTTTTCATTTTTTTCATTTTCTGAAAACGTTTTTTAATTCACTTTCTCATCATACTTGTTTATTTCTATTAGACTTTATCAGACTTGCATATTTATTCTTATCATTTTCACAGAATCAGTCAAACTGACTGAAAATTCAGCGCTACAGAAATTGATTATTATCATTTATTTAGAGAACAGCCTGCAATTATTTTTATTTTATATGAGATGAGAGCGAGAATTTTGTCCAGACTGCGGTATTGCTGCCAATTACCACTAGGGGTCTTTTACGTGCAGGTCAATGTGTATCAATGACTAGTCGCCCAAATGTGTCGCCAATGTAATGTTCATTATCCGCTAATTCTTAAGTGCAATAAAACACCAGATCTTGCACCGATATATTTAAATGTTTTAATGATCGCCACCCAACATCTTTTTTATTCTCACATTTCAGCGTTTTTTATTTCTGAGTCAATAAATCGTATACCTCCGCCCGTCTCTAACGTCAATATATTAATACACATGTATTAAGGGCGCGTCATCTACGTAAAGATCAAATTATGCACCATTTGTTATTAGGGGAACGGGTTTCTTGTCAGCTGTATTTATACAAGTCAATATGGTTATATTATTTGGTATCACCCCGATATTAAATATATGTTCTCAGGTACCAGTTAGTACGAGCTCTAATGTCAGCAATATATCAACTCCATACTTCTTACCAGTTGGTACAACCTGAAACATATCTCCCAAACATACTTCTTAGTGCTGCGTCCACATTCATTTTACACCATGCAAAGTAGTTCGGATTAAAATTTGTATTTGATTTGAATGGATTAGAATTCTGGTAGAAGATGGAATGAATTAGTGGATTAAGGAAACATGTTAATGAGATTTCATTTAACCCAAATTTTCAGATCAGAATAAAATAAAACCAAGTACGAACAATCCAAACCATTAGACAAAATTCGAAGTCCTAAAAAAAAAAAATGGTATAGGCAAAATAGTGTAATAAGGCAAAATAGTGTAATCAGCATATGGACTGTTCACCGTGTACAAAATACACGAAAAACAGTGGTAACAGGTGTCCGGAAGAGTAAGCTTACCCTGCTTGGCGCCACACCCGCCATAGCTGCATCCAAACTATTAGGCGAAATCTCGGTAAAATAGCGTGATTGGCCAATGAACTATCGGTACGCAAAATGCATGTAATCTTACTTTTAATCTGAAGAAAATTACCTGTTGATCAGGTTTAGACATAATAATTTTTTTGTACCTGACAAAATGTTAGACAATAACGAACTAGTACCAGACATTTAAAATTTTATATTATGAATATCAATCAGTTCGGTTGTGCCTGATGAAGGCCGAATTTCATGTCTGACAAAGTCTGTGACAGGTGGCTGATTTCCAGACTCGTTCTGATCTATTTCAAGTATTGATTCAGCAAATAAAATTTGTTTGCCTTTCACAGAAATATGTAAAACATTCATAATTAATAATAATAACAGAAACAAGCTAGAGTAGTTAGCAAGTCGGTTTTACTAGATTTCATGGTTTAATATCCAACCGTGATAATTTTCATATTTATATTAAAAAAACATTTCAACCTTTCAATATCGACATCTGATTGGAAGATGCCCAGTTTGTTTTCATTTGAGAAATATTTTATTTATTTGGTTCTGTTTTTTCTAGGGGTAATCACACGGTTTTGATTAGTCGAAGGATTATAGTTTTATCCTGATAAGACCATTTCAAATCTTTCCGGAAATACATTTATCTTAATGTTCTACGCTTTTAACAATTATATCAAACATAGAAATAAAAATGTTAAATTGTAACAGGCAATAACTTTTACCTTTAGCATTCTTGATAAGATATTCTGTAAAATTGCCAAAATAAAAAAAGATATGTCAACAATCTGAATAAAACACATGAAATTAAACTAAAAAAATAATATCTTCAAAACTTAATAGAAACGATTAAACTGCCAGGCCTTTTTTTTTAAATTCAGAGCACTTTGGTTATCTCGAGTCTATCCCTCAGGTCTAATAAAACGTTTTAAGAAATAAGTTTATTCAGTAGGCAAAAGCTAAAATTTGTGCTATGATTTTAGTGTTTAGACAATGAACCATGAGTATATGCAAGTCGATATGTTCAAGAATATGGTCTGTGTCTAACATCTAAAATTTTTATTAAGATTTTAACTCATTTACAAATTTACATCCGTGTTACCCCAGGACCTTAATTTAGCAATAAATATGTATACTATTCAAAATACGAAGACATGACTCTTATCATTTCAAAAACATTGAAATCAAATATGTATTTTGGATCTTCATACAAACGTTCAATTATAGCTTTGAAGATGAACGAATATCTAAAATACATGAGTTAGGAATTTGACTCAAAGCTGTAGTCAGTGAGAAAGCATTTAAAGTTAGCACATTCTGAGAATTCTGTGAATCCCTAGAAAACAGAGCTTCACATCTTCAAATATAAACAAAAACATTCCAAAATATTAAAATCTTGTTGAATGTGACATATCTAATTATTTTAAAGTAGAAAAAAAAAATTCTTGTAAAATTCAATTACCTTAACATCTGTTTTAAAAGATCTTCCAGAGAGAGTCAATATCAACTAAATTGTTCCATGAATTCACCAATAACAATTCGTATTTATAGTTTAAAGTGCATGATCATCTTTTGCATTTTTCAAACAATATCAAAATTTTATGGCTTAATGTACACAGCTTGATTATTTAACATTTATTTAGGAAAACAAATCTAAAGTATCAAGCATAGATCA